AGCAGCTGCACGACTGGTACGGTCGCCGTCCGGGTCGAGCTGCTGGAGCTCGGGGCTCTGCTGCTGGAGGCTCTGGTTCCGGAGGTGCTCGTACTGAGGGTACTGGAGCTGCTGGGACTACTACGTCTGGGGGTGCCCCTGCTTGGGCCACCGGGGCTGGAGACCCTGGGGCGGGAGGTGCCGGCTCTGGGGGTGCTACTGCGGGCGGTTCTGCGGTTGGCGACCCTGCGTCTGGAGGTGCCGGTTCTGGGGGTGCTCCTCCTGGGGACACTGGAGCTTCTGGAGGTGCTGGAGCTGCTGGAGACACTGGAGCTGCTGGAGGTACTGGAGCTGGTGGAGACACTGGAGCTGCTGTAGGTGCTGGAGCTACTGGAGGTGCTGGAGCTGCTGGAGACGCTGGAGCTGCTAGAGGTGCTGGCGCTGCTGGAGACGCTGGTGCTGCTGGAGCTGCTGGAGGTGCTGGAGCTGCTGGAGGTGCTGGAGCGACCGGTGCTGACGTAGCCGCGCCGCCTCGCCTGTTCTTCGCTCCACCGTCTCCGTCGTCTCTACCGCCGCCTGACTCTGTTCTCCGTCAGGTTCTTACTCTCCCGTCGTCCAAGGGTCTTCCGTTACCTGCTGGCTCACCACTCCCTGCTCCTTCCCCTTACACTGAGTAGGCTGGTGGTCTTGCTGAGCGCCGTGCGCCTGCGTCGCGTCCTGTCTCGCCCGTTCGGTCTGGTCGTCCCAGTCGTACCGGTCGTTGTGTTTCTTGTACGCGTCAGCCGCCTATACCTAGCGCGCACCTTGTTGTCCGTCGTCCCTCCTTTGCTCCGCCGTCCGCTCCTCTGCCTTCCCCACCTGCGTCCTCACTGCCTGCGGTTCCCGACCCAGCGTCTGACCGGTTTCGTGCTGAGCACCCTACTGTCACGCGTCTGTTAGCTACTGTTGTCACTGACCCGTCGTTCGAGTCCACTGCTGCGTCTGCCTTGGTTGCTGAGCTTGTTGACTTTGCTGCTGTCTGTCGTCTCGACTACGCCACTAGCCTTGTTGCTGCGTCTGAATCTGTCTGTCCTCCGTCCGTCGGGGGTGAGTGTGCTCTTGGCACGGACGTCCTTGAGGACAGACAGGAGGAGTTCCAGTGTCTTGCTGCTGCTGTACCCCATCTCGTGGCCATGCTGCTTGCCCCTGAGGGAGACCCGGATGCACTTGACATCCCGACTCCGCGCTCTTACGCGGAGGCGATAGAGGGTCCCTACTCCTCTCAGTGGCAGGCAGCCATGGACGCAGAGATGGCTTCCTGGAAGTCCACAGGCACCTATGTTGACGAGGTTCCCCCTCCTGGGGCGAACATCGTCAGTGGCATGTGGATTTACAGGGTGAAGCGGCCACCGGGTTCTCCTCCTGTCTTCAAGGCACGTTACGTGGCTCGCGGCTTCAGTCAGCGGCAGGGAGTTGACTACTTTCATACCTTCTCTCCCACCCCGAAGATGACCACTCTTCGGGTGCTACTGCACATAGCTGCTCACCGTGACTACGAGCTTCACTCTCTTGACTTCAGCACAGCTTTCCTACAGGGCTGCCTGCACGAGGAGATCTGGCTGCGCCGCCCACCTGGCTTCACTGGGACGTTTCCTCCTGGCACCCAGTGGAGCCTCCGGCGGCCGGTCTACGGTCTCCGCCAGGCGCCGCGTGAGTGGCACGACACACTGAGGACTACACTTGCGGCTCTTGGGTTTGCTCCTTCTACTGCCGACCCGTCGCTATTTCTGCGCACTGACACCTCTTTGCCGCCGTTCTACATCCTCGTGTACGTCGACGACTTGGTCTTTGCTACAGCTGACACTGCTGGACTCGCCCACGTGAAGTCCGAGCTGCAGAAGCGACACACGTGCACAGACCTGGGTGAACTGCGCAGCTACCTTGGCTTGCAGATCACCCGGGACAGAGCACGACGCACCATTACACTGTCTCAGTCACACATGGTGCAGCAGGTCCTTCAGCGTTTCGACTTCACGTACTCCTCGCCTCAGGCCACTCCTCTGTCTACTAGTCACTCGCTCTCAGCTCTGCCTTCGGATGAGTCCGTAGAGCCGAGTGGCCCGTACCCAGAGCTTGTTGGCTGCCTCATGTACCTGATGACATGCACACGACCTGACCTTGCATACCCTCTTAGCATCCTGGCACGCTATGTTGCTCCTGGGAGACACCGACCAGAGCACATGGCTGCAGCGAAGAGGGTGTTGCGCTACTTGTGCAGTACGTCAGGCATGGGGCTAGTGCTTGGAGGGCAGAGTCGAGTGGTCCTCACTGGTCACGCAGACGCTTCTTGGGTTGACGACCTGGCTACTCAGCGGTCGTCACAGGGTTACACTTTCAGCCTTGGTTCCGGCTCTGTTTCGTGGCGGTCTACCCGCTCGTCGTCTGTTCTCAGCTCTAGCTGTGAGGCTGAGATCTACGCAGGAGCCATGGCTGCACAGGAGTTACGCTGGCTTACCTACCTGCTGACTGACCTGGGAGAGCCGCCTCGTTCTCCTCCAGTTCTGTACGTAGACAACAAGGCAATGCTGGCCTTGTGTCGGGAGCACAGACTGGAGCACAGAACGAAGCACATTGCTCTCCGCTACTTTCTTGCACGTGAGTTGCAGCAGCGTGGTCAGCTGCGCCTTGCTTACGTGGCCACTCGGGCCAACACTGCTGATATCTTCACCAAGGCACTTCCGCCTGGTGATCATCAGCGCTTCTGTACGATGCTAGGTCTTGTGCCCACTTGGCCTCACTTGCTCACTTCTTGACCTTGCTTGTACTGCATTTTCTATATACATGCTCTTGCTTGTTTGTCTTTATATATAATCATGCATGTGAACTGGCCTTGTGGCCTTGACCTTGTACTCAGATTTGTGGTGACGTTGTGATCCACTCTGAGCTTGCTTGCTTGACTGGTCTTGTGGCCTCTAGGTCTTCCCCACTTTGCCTATGGGGGTGTGTCAAACATATGTTATATTATTTATATCTAGGCTGTAGTGGGTTAGATACTAGAGGGTATAGGGTTGTTTCTTGTACCTCTCGAACTTCTCCTAGTGCAACTTTTCTCTCGACTCTCACACCTTCCTGCCAGACTCGGGGGGTTCGGCATTCGATCTGCGGCTGACCTTAGTCCTCTGTCGTATGCATGTGGCTGGTGCCAAGCTGTGAGCGATGTGGCTCGGTTGGGGGTGGCAGGTGAGGAGCGGATGTTTGAGGAGTTTTTCCGCACGCCCGAGGCTACGACCTTGTTGGACCCCTGGTTTGCGAGAGCAGTGGATCTTCTTCCACAGTCGGTTTGGCAGGAGATGCCACCCCTTGCCTTGTGCACCGCTGATCCGCCTATGCTGCTCTTCCCCACACAACACCGTCGCCTGGCGGTTGAGAGCCTCCAATCTCTTCGAGGCATGGCCCACAACGATGCCACCCTGGCCCGTTTGACATCCCTTCAGGGCCCGGGGGCTGGGGCGTGGGTTTCTGCCGTTCCTTCGCACGAGGAGGCTACCTTCACCGCAGCCAAGTGGAGCATATGCGCGTCCATGCGCCTAGGCCTCCCTATTCAGCAGCTGATAGTGGCCGGCAAGTGCGCGTGTGGGTTTGAGTTTGCTGATCCCTCTGACCCGCATCATACCCTTCGCTGCAAGTATCAGTATGCACCTTCTCGGGTTCACGATGCGGTTAAATTTGTGGTGGCAAAGATAGCTAAGGGTGCGGGTGGGATTGTGACCTTGGAAGACGACACGTTGCTCCCAGGGAAGAGGGTTGATGTGGCGGTTCGGAAACTGAGGGAGGGGGAGGAGCACGCGCTGGAGGTTAGTGTGGTAGATCCTATCTCGCTATCCGCGCAGCACCATGGACAGATTGGTCGCAAGGTGGGTTTTGCCGCGAGAGAGAGAGAAAAGCGGAAGACGGCGGACTACAAATCGCTTCTACAGCGGCATGGGGGAGTGCAGTTCACACCACTCATTGCTGAGACATGGGGATGCTTGGGGGGGAGTTTTGGACGGTGGCTTAAGAAGCAGGGTGACGCGCAGATCGAGATAGCAAAGACGAAAGGGGCGGCGCGAGCTACGGGAAAGGGTTTCTCGGCTTATTTGCTCGGATCGCTCAAAGCGGCTGTAGGTGTGGCTTTGCAACGGGCTCAGGCGCGTGTGATCTTGTTTCGCGCGGCGTCGATGATGAGAGGCCCAGAGGCTGTTTGGGTGGAGCGGGAGGATGTTGAGGGGGAGATGGGATGGGATGCTCCGTGGGCGGATGCACCATACTTGGTAGACATGCGGGTTTAGGGAGTGGGTTTAGGGGGGGAGGTTTGGTTCGATGGGAGTGCAGTTGGGGTTTTTTGATGGGAGGGCTTGATGGTGTTTTAAATGTGTGTGCTATTGGGGTTTTCTTGGGGTTGTGTGTGCTGCTTTTTCTTCCTTCTTCCCTGTTTTTCTTCCTCCTATCATTTTTCCCCTATTCCCCTCCTCCTTTCTTCCTCTCTCATTCTTTCTACTCACGTTATTCCTCCTTTTCTCCTCTCTTCCCGTTTCCACTCCTTTTCCTTGCGTAATTATGCTACATTGTAATAACTAAATTTTGGCGATGAAAAAAAATAAATTTAAAACTAGTACATATGGGTCGTTGTTGGTTTGCTAGTACGTGTAACTAATGGCAACCGTCCCCCATATGTAGTGGTAGATCACTCCCCCATATGAACTTATGGCACAAAAGACGAAGACAGCACGGCTTCACCAAATCAAACTCCCAGCATCGGCTCCTACCGCGTATGTATATATGTCCTTGTATTCTGGCATTATGAATTCTTCGCAGCCCACAATCTGGTCCTTCACCTAATATCCATACCAGAAAAATCCTACATCACGCACCCCAGCGCCACTCGGTTCGCGTCGCCACGTGTCATTCATTCTACCGAATCACAAGAAGAGGCGACGCCACGCTGCTTAGGAGCATCACCGCTGTGCTCAGCAGTGTAGCGTTGCGCTTAGGAGCATCTTCCAATGGCAGATCGCCCGCATCGCGCGGTCATAATCTACGGCGACGGGTTGCTCATCGACGGCCCGCCTCCGGCGTCGCTTTCAGCGGAGCCCGCGTCTGCCGCGCAGCGAACGCGAACGCCTCTGGAGACGGTCGACGCGCCCGCGCTGCACCGCGTGGCGGCTGACGGCGTGTCCGGCCTCCTGGCTCTCAGACAGCTCCCCTCGCATGGTCCGCCGCTACTGTTGCTGCTGCTGCTGCTGCTGCTGCTGCTGCTGCTGCTGCTGCTGCTGCTGCTGCTGCTGCTGCTGCTGCTGCTGCTGCTGCTGCTGCTGCTGCTGCTCCTGCTGCTGCTGCTGCTGCTGCTACTGCTGCTGCTCCTGCTGTTGCTGGTGCTGGTGCTGCTGCAGCTGCTGCTGCTGCTGCTGCTGCCGCCGCCGCCGCCGCCGCCGCCGCTGCTGCTGCTGCTGCTGCTGCTGCTGTGTGCACTGAATTCATTTCTCATTCACTTGACCCGCCTCTTGACCTTTTTTGAAATCAATTCCTAATCATCTCCTAGCTATTCATGGCAGAACAGGTCCCACTCCGACACTCCTATGCTGCCCCATTCCCGATGCGCCCATTCGTTCATGGCCCCATGCGGCCATGGCCTCCATTCGCTCATGCGCCCAAGCCCCCATGCCCCCGTAGCGCGGTGTCCCCTTGTCCGCAAGCCTCCATGACGGTCCAAGTGCTTCCACGCACCCACGCGCTCAAACACGGACACGATGCATGGCACAGGCACAGACCAGTCCCCAAGCCGCCTCATGCCCATCCATTACCACACGGCACGTGTCTCTCCGTTTCCCCATGCCCGCCCTCTGCCTGCACTGATCGCGTGCCCCCCCCTTCCCGCGCTGCGCGCATGCTCCCCTGGCAGTGAGTGAGGAGCAGAGGGAGGCGTTGGAGTTGGCGCAGCTACTGGACGTCTACCACTGCGCGCACACGCCCCTCCCGCAGGTGCCCTGCTGCTCCCCTCCTGCCCCTGCAGCACACCTGTCCTTCTCCGCCCTCTCCCTCCCCACCCTCTCCCTCACGCGTTTTTGCTCATCACCCCTTCTCCCCCCCCAACCCCCCGTCGCCTTGGCATGAACAAGGGGACTGGATGCTCGCTTGTTCATTCTGTTCCATGCGGGCATCAAGTCCCCTTGGCAATCCCCCCTCGGCAATCCTCCCTTGGCAATTCTCCCTCTCGTACCCTCACCTTCTCACCTCGCCATCGCGCTCATTCACCGCTCTGCTGAGCCCCTGTATGGGACTGCTTTGGCGCTGCCTGCTGCTAAGAGGTTCCAATTCACCCACCTACCCCGCCTTCAGCTTTCGTGTCTGCCTCTTGCTTATGTGTTTTTGTCTGCATCCATGTCTGTATCTGCGTCTGCATTTGTGTCTGCATGTGTGTCTGCAAGTGTGTCTGCATGTGTGTCCGCACGTGTGTCTGCATGTGCGCGTGCACATGAATGTGCATGAGTAACCCCAAACCTCACGCGGCCACCCATCAGCAGGACACTTCGACCACCACACAACCCAGCAGCGACCCCACCACAGCTGCTGCTCCCTCCGCTCCTCACATCTCATGGGAAACCAATCCCACACCTTTGTCTGAACGGTACGCCATCCACACAGCCCATGCCACATGACATTATTGCCCCCATGCCCATGGCTCCCATACTCACGCTTTACCATTGTCCATCTCTTGTGGCCGTGGGTATGCTGTGCGTGCATGCTGCCTGTGCGTGCTGCACATTGTGCATGCTGCCTGTGCCTGCTGCACATTGTGCATTTTCTTGGATCTGCTGTTTCACCTCCGTCTTTTGGCCCTGGCTCCCCCTTCGCCTCCCTAACTCACTCCCCTTCCCCCTCTTTCTCTTCCCCACCTCACTTACCACTTTGCCTCTTCTCCTCGCCTCACTCCCTCACCTCCATTGGCCCCTCACCTGTCCCACGTCTCCCTGCTTCGCCTTCCCGTTCACCCCACCACTGCAGATTCATGGGCATGGAGGCGGCGTTCGTCTCCTCCTCCCCAGTCTCGCTTGCCCTTGCCCGCACCGCTGGCTTCCGCACTACCCGCCTCAACCGCGCTGCACTCTCCTCCACCTCCCGCAACCTCCTCGTCACCGGTGAATCCGACGACCCCTCTTGCACTTCAGCAGCAGAAGGTAACACAGAAGCAGGAGGAGACAAAGCAGCTGGGGCAGCAGTAGCAGCAGCGACAGCAGGAGCAGTGCCCGACCCATCAGTGCTGGCAGCGCGGATAGTGGCGGCGCTAGGCCTGCACAGGGAAGAGGTGCCAGGCCCTCCCCCCAGCGCTGCGGAGAGGGAGGCAGGCGAGGTGGACCTGCTGCTGCTGCACGTGCGCCCTTCTGACGTCGCCTCATGGGGCCCCAGCGCTGGGGAGAAGAGCACTGGTGGTTTGCCAGCAGCTGCAGGAGAAGCAGGAGTGGGAGTGGCAGGCGCAGGAGGTGCGGTGACAGGTGCAGGCAGGGGCGAGGGTGGCGCTATGGAAGGGCAGGTGTGGGGGCAGGCAGCGCGGGCGATTCGATGGGTGGACTCTCTGGTTGCGGAGCTGCTGAGATGGCGGGATGGCAAGGCAGGCAGGGGGGAGAAAGGCGAGGGAGAGGAGGGGAGTGGTGGGGAGGGAGCAGCAGTGGCCAGCGATGGGCCGTCCTCCTTGCCCCTGCGGGCACAGAACCACCTGTACCTTGCTGTGGTGCTGGGATATGGGGACCAGGGCAACCAGCAGGTGCCTCCTCCTGCTGCTGCTGCTGCTCCAGAGCAGTCAACCGAGGTGCCCTGGTCGCCGGTTCCCCTGCGCTCCCTTCCGAATCTCGCACCGCCAGCCTCTGCTGCTGCTGCTTCTCCAGCTGCTGGTGCTGCCTCTGCGGATGGCTCTGTGGCGTGTTTGGCGCGCGTGCCCTTTGTGCCACGGCAGAGCTATGAGCTGAGGGGAGACGAGCCCGTGGAGGCTATTCGGTACGCTACGCCGTATGCCGCTTCTCCTTGCTTCTACCTCTGCGCTCGCTGCTTCTCATTGCTTCTTATTGCTTCTCGTTGCTCCTCCTTGCTTCTCATTGCGTCTCAAGTGTTGTCTGACGGTTATTTCCGTGTCCCCTTTCCCCGCTCTTGAGTGCTGCACTAGTCTTTTAATCCCATACCAACCTCCCTTCTCCTCCATCTCTCTACCCCCCACCTCCCTGGCCGTACCTGTCCTAAACGCTGTTCACGTTCATGCACTGGATGGAGCAGGCGCCACCACCCTCTGCTGGTGACCCGCCATCTGCCTGCTGTCACACGCTGCGATGAGGCGACGCACTTCGGCATGCAAGAGTGCATACAGGTGTGTGGCATGGTATGGAATGGCATGGGTTGGCAGGGATGGCATGGAGTGGATTAGTTTTGCCGCACACAGTGTTTAATCGGGAAGGTGCGCAGCGCAGCACCTCGCTAATTTATGCTGGTGCGAAAGCACATACATGCACAGTCTGTCTGGGTATGGATGGGATGGGAAGTGGGTTCTGTCTGCATGATTTGCCGAGGCTTCCATGGTTGAAATTTGACGCCCCCCTGTTATATGTGCATTGCTTGTAGAATGGTGGAGACCGGGCCATCTTGGCAGATCGCTTCATATACGAGATTGCGTTCAAGCTGTGGAGGTACCCCAAGTATGGAGCTTAGCTGGAACATGGCTTTAATCAGCTTGGATGTATGTATGGCCCACGTATACGTGAATGTGACATCATGATTGCACCTAAAGTATACCTTTCATCTAGAACCTGTTAGGCATTACGGCTTCAATATAGGTTGTCTTACTTGAAGCTACATGTACTATATATATACATAATTGTGCCTAATTTGTGAACACACCGCGCCACCCCGACCTGAACTGAAGCTGCCACCCTTGCCAACCTTGCCACCGGCTCCGCCAGCTGTGCACAGAAAAGTCGCTGGCAGTGTTGGTGCGACATCCTCGAGGAACAGCAAACCAAATTTGCCTCGCCTTTGTTCGCCAACTTTCTCTGGTTGGTAGATCCCAAGGTTTTCCAGTTACATTCGCTCGCCATTTTCGCCCACCCTTGAAAGTACAGCAGTGTGTGCTGCTGGGCAGCATGTTGAAAGGGTAGCCTTGTCCTTACTACTAACAGTTCTTTCTAGAACGCAGCTCAGGTCAGGCCAAATCCCGTGTTTTTCCCCCCCCGAGTTAGGCTTGCGAAGCGCGAACTCAGCGCCGCCTGTCCTTAGCGTTTAGAACAGCCAGCTTGCCGTCATCGTCCCTTAGTGATCGACCACGCGCCTTCCCTGCTGATTGCGTAGATACTATCTTAGAAAGCGCAACTCTGTATTCTTCTTGCAGTTTTTTCTAGTAGATCCGGAATAGATCCGGCAAAATGAGCACGAAAGAAGGCGATCGGCCGAGACCCGGCGACAGACTAGGCACGGAGCGGTTCGACGCAGAGAGCGGCGCGTCGGGGAGCGGAGCGGGCGAGAACGGCGGGGCGATCCGCGTGGTGGTGGTGGGGAACAAAGGCACGGGCAAGACGTCGTTGATCATCTCATGTCTCACAGAGGCCTTTCCGGAGGAGCCCGTGCCCGTGCTGCCGCCGACTCGCTACCTCGCCGACTCTTTTTCCGATAAAATCCCTCTTCTGATCGTCGACACGTCATCAAGGTCCTGCTGATGCTTTCCCTCCTCGCTTCTCCACGCGTCAACCGTTTTCTCTCCGCGCGTGCCTCGTCGCCCTCGTCTTTCTTCTCGCCCGTCTTTCTCCCCGCCCGCGCTTTCTTTCTTTCTCGATTTCCATCTCTCTCTACTTTCGGGGTCGGCCACCACGTTGCGTGATCACCATTTCCATCTCTTTCGTTCTCTCCCGTCTCCGTCGACCGCTCTGCGTCCGTCTGTCGTCGCGACTCAGTCGTTGTCTCCTCCGTCCCTCTTGCACGCCGTGTGTGCTGTCTGTATCTTCTGCACGCCGTTACCTGCTCCTGTCGCTGCAAGTGTTCGCTCTTATTACTTTAGCATCGTCCTATAGACCTACTGGGGGAAGATTTCTTGGTGCGTAGAAGTTTTTCCGTGAGTCATTACCCACCGCCCACCATTTTCACTTGACTGAAACATCGCAGGTATGCGACCGTGTATGATCTCCATTCCCGTGTCCCTTCGTCGCCTGAAATCTAACCGTCTGCCTTGATCGTTGCGCCATTATACGCCTGCTGAGCCGTTACTGATTCCAGTTCAGCCCGTCCGGGTATGTCTTTTGTGTCGCATCGACTCAAAAGTCACTCACTTCGGATCAACCTATCCGGCGTCTCTTTATACATAGGCCGATCCGCCTTTAGCCTTCTCCCGGACGTCGATCCGTGTTTCCGCCACACCACGCCTGCGTGTTCCGCACGCCGTTCCGCTCTCCTCTAGGTTTAGGATCACTTAGGCTCGCCGCAGAGAGATTCACCTGGCGCTGCAGTCCGAGGCAGCGACGTCACGGGTGGGCGGGTGTGTCACGCTGTAAATCTCGCATGGTGTGCTTCAAGCATCCCTCAACTTCAACGGCTCTCATTTTCTCTTGATTACGCTGTCTCACTTCAAACTCGATTGCACGCGGCGCTCGCCGCTCTCGGCGCTCGTGGCGCGTCTCGTGAAACCGGATTTGATCGCAGAACCCCTCCGTCTTTGAAAGCCTCATGCTGTCGCACAGTTTCCGCGCATGTGCCGTGCCGTCCAGGGAGTAATTTTCCTGCTGCTGCGGCGGCAGCAACTGCGCGGCTCGCGCTCACCCGCCTTTCCCCCTTCCGTGTTTCTTGTCGTGTCGTGCGCGCGCAGGCGGGAGGAGCGGGGCGCGGTGGAGGCGGAGCTACGGGCGGCGGACACGGTGGTGATAACGTTCGCGTGCGACGACCAGGCGTCGCTCAACTCCGTCTCCTCCTACTGGCTGCCGCTGCTCAGACAACTACAGGTGCCGTCGCGGATCAGGGCTTCCGGGGACGGTCGGTCGTAGGGGGCTGGGTTTATAGTCGCAGGGAGATGGTTGGGGGGGTTGGGAAAGAGAATGAGGTACGGGAGAGGGGCGGAAGTGCGTCACTTTCCCACGCGCAAATGCATTTCGTTATCCGTCATCATCCCCCGCCCTCGTCTCCCGCCTCCGTCCCCCGCCCTCGTCCCCCGCCCTCGTCTCCCGCCCTCGTCCCCCGCCCTCGTCTCCCGCCCTCGTCCCCCGCCCTCGTCCCCCGCCCTCGTCCTCCGCCGTCGTCTCCCGTTCCGCTCGGCCCCCGCCCCCAGGTGCCAGTGCCAGTCGTGGTGGTGGGCTGCAAGCTCGATCTTCGAGACGCGCCAGGCGCAGCGGCGGTGGGGGGAGCCGAGGGGGCGGCAGTAGGGGCGGGGGGCGCGGGCGGGGGGGTGGCGCAGCAGCCGCTGGACGTGCTGGTTGCGCCGATCATGGACGAGTTCAAAGAGGTTGAGACGTGCCTCGAATGCTCCGCGCTGCGCCGCGTGCAGGTGCGTGCGCGGGGGAGGGGAGGCACAGGGGAGGGGAGCGGGAGGGGCGCAGGGAGGGAGAGGGAAGGGAAAGGGGAGTGGGAGGAGGAGAGGGAGAGGGGAGGGGGAGGAGAGGAGGAGGAGGGGGAGGGAGAGGAGGAGGGGGAAGGGGAGGGAGAGGAGGTTTGAGGGGCGAGTGGGTGAGGGAGGGGATGAGTGTTGAAAGGGGATGGAGGAGAGAGTGCAATGTGAATGTATTGAGGGGGCTGGGCAGTTTGTGGCAAGGGACAGAAGGGAGGTTGATGAAAGGAACAAGAGGTGGAGAAAAAGTGGTAGGGGAAAGACAGTTTGGGAGGAATCAGACAATCAAGAAGAGCACCGGATGTTTCTTGGCTGATCTGCGTAGCCTTCTTAATTAGTCCAACGGTAGGCTCGTTCATGCTCTGTCAGCATCCACTGTCCATTGTGCTTGTTTATTCAACTCACAAGTCACCTCCACATTTTGGACTCTGCCTCTCCTCTTCCTGCTCTGCCCGAAATTCCCCTCCAAGCCCCACTCAAAACCCCCCCATCACTGCATCCCCTCGCCCTCCCCCTCCCCTCCCCCTTCCCCTCCCCCTCCCGCTCCCGCTCCTCCTCCTCCCTTCCCCCCCCCCTCCCCCTCCATTCCCCCCTCCCCTCCGATCCTCCTCACGGTGCGTGCATGGCAGGTGGCGGAGGTGTTTTTCTTTGCACAGCGGGCGGTGCTGCATCCCACGGGGCCGCTGTTTGACCGGCAGACGCAGGCGCTGCGGCCGGCGTGTGTGCGAGCGCTCATGCGCATCTTCATGCTCTGCGATGTTGATGGTGACGGCGTTCTCTCTGACACCGAGCTCAACGCCTTCCAGGTGACTCCCACACTGCACTGCACTGCCTGCCTTGCACCGCACTGCACGGCTCTGCGGCCGGCGCGTGTGCGAGCGCTCATGCGCATCTTCATGCTTTGGAACGTCGATGTTGATGGCGTGCTCTCTGACACCAAGCTCATCGCCTTCCAGGTCACCCCCTACCGCATTGCACCGCACCGCACCGCACCCCCGCTGCACCCCCGCTGCATCCCCACTGCATTCCTGCTGCTCCCCCTGTGCAACCCTGCTGCACCGTATATTGAAATACAACTCGCCGCACTCCGCCGTGCCCGCGCCACTCCAAGGATTGCTCAGTGGGCGCGCCTGTAGAAGAAAGAACCTGTTCTGCTGATTGCTTGACACGCATGGGGTTTGCGTGTGTGTCAGAGTAATAAGGTTTGCAGCACATAGCCTGGAAGGCGTTCCCAAAATCCCTTCTCCTACTCTCTTACGGGTCCCTCCCCTCGTGCGTTCCCCCTCAAAACCAACCCGCGTGCGGCATGCCCCTCAGGTGGAGTGTTTCTCGGTGCCGTTACAGCCGGCGGAGCTGGTGGGGGTGAAGCGAGTGGTGGCGGAGAAGATGGTGGATGGCGTGGCGGGCAACGGGCTCACGCTCACTGGCTTCCTCTTCCTGCATGCGCTCTTCATTGAGCGCGGCCGCCTCGAGACCACCTGGACCGTGCTGCGCAAGTTCGGGTACTCGTCGTCCCTGCACCTGCGCGAGGAGATCACTCGGCTGCCGTCACAGCCGCTGCCCGACCAGGTGGTTGGGGGAAGAGGGTGGGAAGGGAAGGGATAGAGTGGAGTTCAAGTCGAAATTACATGGACCGAGCTGCGCAAGTTCGGGTAGGTGGGTGGGGAGAGAGAGGGGGAAGTGAGAGAGGGAGGTTTGAGAAGCCCAGACCAGGTTGGGTGAGGGGGGAGGAAGAGGGTGGTAAGGGGAGGGAGAGAGAGGAGGGGTGGCGATGGGAGGTGCGGAAAGGAGGGGAGGGGAGAGGAGTGGGGGAGGGGGACATGGTAGGATGGGGTGCTATTGCTGTGGCTGCGACTGGCCTTGTGTATGGGTGTCTGCTTCTGTGCCTTTTCAGGAGCTCCAGCCGCCTCCCTTCCCCGCCTCTAACTTTCAACCTCCTGTCTCTCGCCCATCTCCCCCTGTCCTCCTGTGCCCCCCTGTCCGCCTGTGCCCCCATGTCCCCCCGTGCACGCGCCTGTCGTCCCCCGTGTGCCCCGCACAGAGTGTGGAGCTGTCCAGCAAGGCGCTGGAGTTTGTGTGTGCGCGCTTCAGAGCGTTCGACAATGACCAGGTCAGCCACTCTGTCAGTCGGTTGGTCGGTAGGTCGGTTGGTCAGCCAGCCAGCCAGCCTAGCGCATGTGCAACCAGTGTACCTGCTCCGCTCCTCCTCCTCCTCCTCCTCCTCCTCCTCCTCCTCCTCCTCCTCCTCCTCCTCCTCCTCCTCCTCCTCTTCCTCCTCCTCCTCCTCCTCCTCCACATCCGTCCCTTCCTCCCTTTCTCCCCCCTTTCTCCCCCCTTTCTCCCCCCCTTCCATCCCCATCCACTCCCCATCCTCTCCCCCGTCCCATACCCATTCCTGTTGTCCCCTTCCACCTTTCCCGCCCTCGGCCTCCCACCTCTCCTCCCCTGCCACGGGAGTGTATGCTCGCTGTCATCAGGATGGGGCCCTCAACACGAGTGAGCTTAACAACCTCTTCAGCACCGCACCCAACAGGTACACACACACACGCACACGCACGCACACGCACGCACACGCATGTCACCGCTCCTTCCCTGCTGCTCGGCGCGCTTCAGCCGATTCACAGCCCGCCCGCCTCTCTCAGCCACCCAGCCGTGAGCAGCGACCCCTCGCCCCCAGAGTTTGTTCTCTCGCCACGATCCTCATGCTTGCCATTGCCACTGTCACTGCTGCGCTGCACCTCGTACCAAACTCCAAATGACATGAACTGCCCATCCCTGCCCACAGCACCTCTACTCTCTTGCCATTAAGACTTCAGCAGGCATTTTTTTCTCTCCAGTTCCGTTTACTTTCGAGCTAAATGCATCTGATGGGTTTTCCTTGTCTGCCGCTGCCCTTCCATTCCATCCCCTCTCCTGTGCCCCGCTTTCTCCCTTCCCTTCTCCCTAACCTCCTCCCTTTCCATCTTTCCTGTACCAAAGCCACCCCCCTTTTCCCCCTCACCCTCCCCTCCGTTTCCTCCCGCATGGCGTGTTCAGTCCATGGGAGGAGCCGCCTTACCTGGGAGCGGCAGAGACATCACCATCGGGAGCGCTCACCTTCAGCGGCTACCTTTCCCTGGTAATCGTGTCTTTTCACCCCTTCCCCCCACTCCCTCCCTCTTCCTTCTCCACCATCCCGCTTCCTTCTCCCTTTTTCTTTGGCCACTTTTCCTTCCTCCCCTCCCCTTCCTTCGCATCTGCCCACCTCTCCCCACCGCACCAATCCCCGCACTTCCCGCAATGGTCGCTGATGGCGCCACTGCACCAGGAGAGGGCCATCGAGTACCTTCTATTGCACATCCCCTCCAATCCGGGCGGGCTTCTCCTCCCACCTCCACCTTCTATTGCAATTCCTTTCTGAACGCACCATTCTTCTGCACCTTCCCCCATTTCCTCTTTCCCTCCTCTCCTCTCGCTCCTCACCAGTGGTCGCTAATGGCACTGCTGCACCCGGAGAGGCCCACAGGGTACCTGCTGTACTGTACCTGGGCTTTCCCTCCCCTTTCACCCATCTTTTGCTCTAATTCTTTCCCCGTCTTCTCCCCCTCTCCTACTGCGCCGCGTTATCCTCTCCCTCCCCCCGGTTACCATCACCTCTCCCAGTGGTCGCTCATGGCTGTGCTGCACCCGGAGAGGGCCATAGAGTCTCTTCCGTACCTGGCCATCCCCTCCCCTTTCGCCCTTCTTCTGCACTGATCCCCTTCCTTCTCCCCATTTCCTCTCCCTCTCCACCAGTAGTCGCTCATGGCACTGCTGCACCCGGACAGGGCAATAGAGTACCTGCTCTACCTGGGCTTCCCCTCCTTGTTCGTCTTTTCCTCTTCTCTAATTCCCTCCTATATCCCCTTTTCCCCACTCGCCCCGCATTGCCCTCTCCCTCACCCTACCTCCCCACCAGTGGTCGCTCATGGCGCTGCTGCAACCTGAGAGGGCCATAGAGTACCTCCTCTACCTGGGTTTCCCTTCCGACCTCGCCCCTTCCTTCTGCTCTAAGTCCCTCCTTTGTCTCCCCTCTCCTTCCCCCCGGTTCCTGTCACCTCCCCCAGTGGTCGCTCATGGCACTGCTGCACCCGGAGAGGGCAATAGAGTACCTGCTGTACCTGGGCTTCCCCTCCGACCTCCACCTTCTTTCTGCACACTCCTCTCCCCTTCTTTTTTCTTCCCCCAACCATCTGTCCCTCCCTCCCCCAGTGGTCGCTCATGGCGTTGCTGCACCCGGAGAGGGCAATAGAGTACCTGCTCTACCTGGGCTTCCCCTCCGACCTCGCTCCGTCTGCCCTCACCTTCACGCGGCGGCGCCGCAGCGACCGCAAGGCGGGCTCCTCGCAGCGCCGCGTGCTGCAGTGCTACGTGGTGGGGCCCCCGCAGGCGGGCAAGACTGCTTTGCTCAACTCGTTGCTCGGAAGGTGGGTGCGGCTGGGTTGGTGAGCGTGAGGTGGAAGGAGGGGTGAGTTGAGCGGGCGGACGTGCACGTAGGCATCCATGCAGGCAGGCAGGCAGGCTGGTCAGGCTGTGAGAAAGAACACACAGAGAAAGCCAAATTGGGGCGACAGTGCTTTGTGGTGGGGCCCGCGCATGCGAGCAAGATGGCTCTGCTGAACTCGTTGCTGGAAGGGTGGGTTGGGCTGGTGAGCGCGACGTGGGAGGAGGATGGGCAACCGGGGGCGGGCATGCAGGCCGTGAGGCAGGATGAGGATTCTCAAAAGCATCCTCATCCTGCCTCACAGAGAGTGGCAGGATGAGGATGCACACACCCACTCACAGAGAGTGCCAGGATGCTTTAGAGAATCCTCAAAAGCAGCACTTCCAGCATGAGTCGCGTGCTTGCACACTCCCCCAAGCCATCTCGTGCCCAATATCTCCATATTCTCTGGTCCGTGTTCTCCCTGTTCCTTCCTTACCACTCCCCACTTCCTTTACTCCCTCCCCCCTCCCTCCTCAGACCCTCCCCCCCACTTCTCCCTCCTCTTCATTCCTCCCCCACCCACCCAGACCATTCGAGCCATCGCATATCAAGTGTGGGGAGGTTGAGCGGTTTGGCATTATCCTTGTCTCCACTTCCTTTACCCCCTCCCCTCTCCTCCCACCCCCCCACTTCTTCCTCCCCTTCCTCCCCCCACCTGCCCGCCCCCGTCTCCCCAGACCATTTGAGCCGTCGCATATCAAGTGTGGGGAGGATGAGCGGTTTGGCGTTATCCTTGTCTCCACTTCCTTTACTCCCTCCCCCTTCCTCCCACCCCCCGACGTCTTCCTCCCCTTCCTTCTACCCATCACCCCCCCCGCCCCCGTCTCGCAGACCATTTGAGCACTCACATATCAAGAATGGGGAGGACGAGCGGTCCGCTGCTAACCTTGTCTCCACTTCCTTTACTCCCTCCCCCTTCCTCCCACCCCCCCACGTCTCCCCAGACCATTTGAGCACTCACATATCAAGAATGGGGAGGACGAGCGGTTTGCTGTTAACCTCGTCTCCACTGACCCGCAAGCCCACTCCGCCTCCTCCTCCTCGTCCGCTTCTTCTGCCTCTTCCTCCTCCACCACCACCACCTCCTCCTCCCTCTCCTCAAATCGCGATCCCGGCAGTATAGCGAGCCAGGTACGATTCGGTTTGGTGTGGTTTGTCAAGGTGTAGTGTGGTGGGAGGCAGTGAGAGTATGGTGAAGGGCATCACAAATGAAAGGTATCATTCCCCTGCACCGTTCCTCATTTAAAGGCATCACCATTGTCTTTCTCTTCCACCACCCCCCCCTCCCCTCCACCCCCACAGGATCTGAGTGCGCTGGCCAGCAGCAGCACGGTGCTGGTGTTGAGGGAGGTGCACCCAGACGCCCTACCTCTCTTCCCTTCCGTCCCCACACCATTCCCTCATCCAACCAACCCTTCCCGCGCCATCCGCCTCCCGCCCGCAACCCTCACAGGATCTGAGTGCGCTGGCCAGCAGCAGCACGGTGCTGGTGCTGAGGGAGGTGCACCCAGACGCCCTACCTCTCTTCCCTTCCGTCCCCACACCATTCCCTCATCCAACCAACCCTTCCCGCGTCATCCGCCTCCCGCCCGCAACCCTCACAGGATCTGAGTGCGCTGGCCAGCAGCAGCACGGTGCTGGTGTTGAGGGAGGTGCACCCAGACGCCCTACCTCTCTTCCCTTCCGTCCCCACACCATTCCCTCATCCAACCAACCCTTCCCGCGTCATCCGCCTCCCGCCCGCAACCCTCACAGGATCTGAGTGCGCTGGCCAGCAGCAGCACGGTGCTGGTGCTGAGGGAGGTGCATCCAGACGCCCTACCTCGCCTCCTCGCTCGCCCTGACTGGCTTGCCGCCTGCGACGTGGCTGCCTTTGTATATGACAGGTGCGGGGGGGGCAGGGGGGAAATGGAAGGAGTGGGAAGAGTCGCTAGGGAGGATAGGGTGTTATGGGCGGTGGTGGTTGTGTGGTTGGCCGCGCGCTCTGTTGCTCTAGTCTCCTCTGCTTCTTCTTCTCTTCCGCGCTTCCCTGTGTACTTTTGGCCGGCTTGGGGTGCGTGGTATAGGCCAGGGGCTACGCACACTGCATATATGTCCAAGGAGCATGCGAGGGGCATGCTAGGGGCGTGCTAGGGGCATGTGAGGGACGACCTTCTATCCCCATGTCTCCTTATTTTCTGGACCTCAATCCGCACTGTCTTACAGCCTCTTATTGCCCTTTGGAAAACCAAACTTCCTCTCCTCCTACTGCCTCTTACTTCTCCGTGCTGTCCCTGCCTCCCCTCTCTTGCCTCCCGCACAGCTCGTCGCAGGGCAGTTGGGAGAAGGCGGAGGGCATGCTGCAGGAGGTGGCGGGGCAGGCAGAGGCCAACCCCCATCCCCACGTCCCCTCCTCTACTGCACCTCAACCCACAGCCTCCTCCAGCCTCTTATTTCCCTGTGAAATCCTTAACTGCCTCACCCCTTACTGCCTCTTTACCTCTCCGTGCTGTCCCGTGCCTCTTTTACCCTCCCCTGCCTCCCCTCATGAGCGCACAGCTCGTCGCAGGGCAGTTGGGAGAAGGCGGTGGGCATGCTGCAGGAGGTGGCGGGGCGGGCAGAGGCCACGGAGAGCGAGATGCCCGCTGTGCTCGTGGCCGCTAAGAATGACCTTGAGCCGCACCCCGCCATCTTCACCCAGTCCGCACAGGTACTGTGACGAACTGCTGCTGTGCTTCCATGCCGCTGTTCTCCTGTGCTGGTGCTTCGGGGGTGTCTGCACGCGAGCGAGTGTGTGTGTGTGTGTGTGTGTGTGCGTGCGTGCTTGCGTGCGTGCGTGCGTGCGTGCGTGCGTGCGTGCGTGCGCGCGCGCGCGCGCGCGCGCGTGTGTGTGTGTGTGTGTGTGTGTGTGTGCGCGTGTGTGTGTTTCTATCTGCTTGCCACTGATCCTTTCGGTCTATCTTGTTCCCACATGTCCCTAATCCCACAACCATCCCTATTCCCCCCCAATCCACCCAGGTCCACACCACATTTTCACACGTTCCCCCTTAATCCCCTGGAACACGCGCCCCTCCCCCTCCGTCTCCGCTCCTCCTTGTCCCACCCCAGCTGTGCACGGAGATGGGGGTGGCAGCGCCAGTCCCCGTCTCCTCACTTCTCCACGACGTCAACGAGCTGTGGACGCGACTCACCGACGCTGCCAGGAAGCCGCACGTGGGCATCCCCGAGACCTCCGCCTCGCGCTCCTCCAAAGCCCTGCGCAAGCGCCTGCTCTACCGCTCTGTTTCGGTGGCTCTCGGTGAGGGGACTAGGGGGGGGTGGATGTGGCAAGGGAGCGGCTTTGGAGGGGTCTGGGAGGTTTTGGGTGGTCTTGGAGGTTGTGTGTGAGTGTTGCTAGAGTTTGGCTTTAAGTTGGGGCTTCAGAGGGGTCTGGGAGGTCTTGGGGTGTCTTGGGGGTTGTGTGTGAGTGTTGCTGGAGCTTGGCTTCTGGTTGGGGCTTGTCCTTTCACAGCCTGCCGCAGCCCCTGTTCCTCTCTGTCCTTGTTCAAACTCTGCGCTGCTCGATTCTGTACTTCCTGTCCTCTCTCCCCCTTCTTCTCCCTGTCCCCCCTTCCCCCCCCACACCCACTCTCCTTCTCCTCTTCAGTGGGCACAGCAGTGGCAGTGGTGCTGGTGGTGGGCTTTCGGATATATGCCGCGCGTCGCTCCTCCTCAACGTAGCGCTCCTGCATGTGTCTGTGCGCCCTAATTGTGCATCCATTCGTGTGAGTGATCACTCACCTCCTGCTTCTTACTCAATCGCATGCTCTGCTCAGTCGAATGTGTTTTTTGGTGTACTTCTGAACCCCTGTCACACTGTCTCTCATGCTTTTCTCTTTATTCTCTCTTCCCCTGTTCATTTGACTCACAGGGTTGGCCTTTGTTTCTCTTTGTCTCTGCTTCGTTGCTCCCCTTCCTGTCCACTCACGATCCAGTGACTCGACAACCATTCTCTGTCCCTCCAGTTTTGCTCACTGTTGGGGGAGCCCTCACTCCTGCTACTGCGGTTCTTGTTGATAGTCCTGTTCAGAATGTCTGCTCATTGGTTACACCACCACCATCAGCATCAGCATCAACATCGTCATTACCAGCACCGCATCATCCTAGCCATCATCACCATTAGCATCCCCTACACTCGCCACCAATCTAGAGCCAATTGATGCCTACTGGAGGTTTACATGCTTGGGCATTAAGCTTGGTGATGGATTTATCCTCCTTCTGGGTTGTAACACTAGATGATGTTGTGTAGATAGTTTATTAGCTAGGTTGTTACGGGTACCTACTTGTTTGGCTTAACAACATCTTGTCCTAGACACCATCCATAACAAGGTTCTTACAAAATTATTTCAAAAAAGTATATCATTAAGGTGTATTTTTCATTTGGCAGTAGCGGGTAGGGTACTGCTGCAATCATCTGTCAGGAAACCAATAGCAGAATTCACAACCACCAAAGGCCTGAAACGATGGTGTATGGGAAAGGACACAAGTTCCGCACGGTTGAAAATGGTGTGTCTGTTGAACACTACGTTCAAGAGCGGTGAAAAATACTTCCCCCAGGGTCTTCTTTATAACTTCCTGAATCTGCGACTCGGTTCGGTTCGGGATGGCGTAGAGCCTTCTCTGTTGTCATCTTCTGTTCAGCATGTCTCCTCCCATGTATGATGACATGGCCCCAAACTCGTCACACCCGCTGGCGATGTGTTTTGGTGTTTCTGAAATACGAGTTTTGAAAACGGTTCACCCTGCCAAATAAGAGTGGCGTAAAAGAACCTCCCCGACCGACCCTCACAAGCGTGGTAGCGCATGTACCTGATTTCACCGATAAATCGCTAACTTAGAGTTGCTTCAATAACATTTGAGACTTCCCAGCTAACTAATTACCTGCTTGGTTCCGGCCCCAAACTCAGTCTCAGGCTGCAAAATATTTCAGATACTTGCTTACAGATTTGGAGGAGTAGACATGGCAAAGCCGTTACAGATTCACACATGCACAGCACACACGGAAAAGCTATTGTCGATTCCCTTCAGAATCAGGACCATGTCGTGCATTTCCGTAACCGAAGCCCGTAAAGGGGGTGACGCAACAGGGCAACCCTCTGACTTTCGGAGCCCATTCTGCAACCTAGTTAGCATATTGCACCCACTTCTGTTGTCAGCATACTTAACAAAGCGATAGTGCCTTGGCGGTGAGGGTTTCAGCCTCAAAACACCCTCAAAAGTCCCCTAGGAAAATGTGAAAGTTGACTCGCAGGGCCATTTCCTTCAGTGTACCGTCGTTACATCTAGAGCTCTGCACCAGGGCTATTGCTAGGATTTTTGCTAGCTCGGACGATCCGGGCCCCTGTGAAAAAGACCCTGTAAAATCCGAGCCAGCGGAAAAAAAACCTTGACGAATCCGGGTTCGAGCCAGAAAAGGCCTGAAAACATGCATTACCAGAATTTCGAGGGAAACTCACAGTGGGTTGCCCGAGGGCTGGGGAGATTGGAGATGGAGTGGCTCTGGAGGGGTGAGCGAGATACTTATTGTAGACTTCGAAAAAAATACGATGAGGAAGAGTACATAGGGAGAACAAGGCAATCAGACACTCTCTCCTTATTGGCCTTCTAAGCCATGTCGACGTAGAACAGGGCAATCAGACACTTGGAGGCCAACAAGGAGAGAGTGGTTAGGAAATTCACTAAAAGTGGCCCACGTGTGTTTAGAGGGAGACGGAGAGGAATGCAAGGCAGGTCGGGGAGAACATGTCTGCTAAAATTATACGGGTCCCCTTGAGAACTCCCCGGAGAGATCCGAGCTGACTTAATAATCACCCTTCAGTTTTACGGGCTGGTCCAGAAAAAACCTTGTGAAAATCAGGGCTCCTTAAAAAAACCTCCTATAATTTCAGTCAAAACAGGGTAATTGCCCTGATAACTTAGGCCCTGCTCTGCACCTCGCGTCGCGTCGCCTGCCCTCGTTGTTCTGCCCAACCGCGGTTACTGCTGCTGCACTGCTGCATTTGCTGCTGCAACAAATCAAACGGCAACTACAGTGCTGCTCGTGCTCAGCCATGTGCTCATGACAACGGTTGTGGGTTGTTGTGTTGTGTTGTGCCGCGTGCAAGGGGGGAAGGGGGGGTGTGAACACTGTACTGTACCACCGCCTCGGGAGCAACAAACCAAATCGAACCGACAATGAACAGACACCATAGAACGAACGCCACACACATCACGGCAGCACACCACACAGATCTGTACGAAGTCGCTCGAAAAAAAGACTAGTGACGCGACGCGTAGTTCCGATCATTGAACGATACGAAGGGTAAATGACTTCCCCACATCGTGTCACCCTCAGATTTAAAACCCCTCACCTCCACTATGTGATCTGTCTCCGTTGTGCACACGTTCAGAAGTTCATTTCTTGTCGAATCCCTCCCAGAACCTTTCCGTGGATTTAAACCGGTAAAGGTTTACTTTGGGCTGAAAACAACGCAGTTTGAGGGACTTTTGGGTCATCTCCTCAGTAGGTGACCCTAAACGTCTCTTTGCCGAGATTTTCAGAACACTCACCGAGGTGGACCACGATGGCATGAAAATTGTGTTTCTGGACATGCGACTGCGACACAAGATCCCCTGCCCGAAACACACAGCACAATACACCCTATGGCCAACCTGCTCTCTGGGAACTCGGTGTACGGCAGTTCCAACAACCCTCGAACAATCCCCCTCCACTCCCAACGCTATTCCCTTTCCTGCACCCACCTGTTCCATCCCATCCCAGTCCGAGATCACTTCCTTTCCCTCTGATGGGAAAAGGGTTTGATGGATGGGGGGGATTCAAACAAACAGACCAAACAAGCGACGCGCAGCAGAACGGAACAAAACATGACGACAGGGCCCGTTACTTCACCATTCACTCCTTGTTCTGTCGGATGTCGGAAAGAAACCGTCGCGCTGTGGGAAACACCAACCAACTTCATGTAAGCCACACAAGCCAAAAAAACCATGGCGTGGCAGCGTCCTTCTGGTCCCTTTCCTACCTTACCTCACCTACCTAGCTCATCCTCCCTGTCACTCCCCACACGCGAGTCAGCCCACTCACACTCCCCACCCACCCTTGCATCCACCACCAACCAGCCTAAAAGACATCACATTTTTCAAAGTAAGCAAACGCATGTGAATAAGCTCCAGATTCAAGCGCCTATCAGCCCAGTTCCACCACCAGGCTCCTCTCGCCTTATAAGCAGTTGCTTTAGTGCTTCGCAATCTCCGTAGTTTTTTTCCAGAGACTCCTACAGCTCGCCTTCATACCTGTTGGCAAGAGAACAAATCTGGAACGTCCATCGTCATCCTTTTTAATACGAATCACTAGACACCTTCACATTGCTGATTTTAACTTTCAGTCATCTTCAAGATTCTTCGATAATTTCTGCGCGGTCGCTCACCTCATTGGGCAACCATGAGTACGCCGCACCGCTGTCGCATGTCGTTGGCCCTTATCAGTCTCCTACTAGTAGTTCTTCCGCAACCATGGCAACAAGCTCGCAGTGCGCGCCTCGACCCACGAGCCGACTCGCCCCAGCAGCCGTCCATCACGCAGTTCGAAATGGCCGTCCAAAAAACCCAACAACTGCCGGAATCCGTCAGGCGGAATCTGCACATGTCGCGCCTTCACCAAGGCGTGGGAATTGACGAGAACGACGAGGAGGAAGTGGCGGCGCGGCGACGCCTGTCCGCCGCCGACGGATACTGGTTCGGGCTGCGCGCGCCGAAGCTGCGGTCGGGGCCGAGCATGGCGGCCGTGAACATGTCGTTCTTCCGGTGGGAGAGCGTGCGCGCGCTGAGCTACGTGGATTGGCGCACAACCATGATGATCACCCCCATTCAGCGCCAGTTCCAGGTCAGCCTTCCCGCCACGCATTTGACAAGTCAGGCTCGCGCCGCCTCGTCGCCCAAAGCTGTTCCTGCTCCGGTTTCGGTTCCTGTTCCGCATCGCAAATCCCTTTTTGTTTTTCACGTTAACACGCGTCCCTGAACAAACTGTTTGCATGTCCTTCTTTCCTGCAGTGCGCGAGCTGCTGGGCCATCACAGCCGTCGATTCGATCGCCATGATGTGGGCGATTGCGACGGGCACGCCTGCGACGCCGCTGTCGCCGCAGCAGGTGTGCGACTGCGCGACGAAGCAGTGCTGCCAGGGCGGGTGGCCCGACTGGGCCTTCTCCTACGTGCTCTCCAACAATGGCGTCACGCAGCTCGGCAACTACCCGTACGTCGCCGCCGACTCCACCACCTGCTACTTCAACGCGACCGAAATGGCGCCGCTCGCGAAAATCACGGGGTGGGAGCTGGTCCCGGCGTTCAACCCGCTCGCGCTCATGAAGGCGGTAACCACGCAGCCCGTGATCGCGTTCCTTAGCGCCGCGTCCAACGACTTCCGCACGTATAACAGCCGCGACCAGATCAAGATCTACGACGGCATGTGCACCACAGAGATTAACCACGCCGTGCTCGTCGTTGGATATAACTACACCGGGCCTAGTCTCGTCGGCAGTTACTGGATCATCAAGAACTCGTTCTACAACACGTGGGGCGACAAGGGATATATGTACCTCGCCATGACGCCCGACGTGCGCGGGAAATGCGGCATGCTCACCGTGCCGCCCATGTACCCGGTGCACTACCCCGTCGGGCCGCAGCCCGCGCGCTTCGCGACGAACATGCGCGGCCGGTGGAAGGTGCGGCGCGTGGACGACCTGTCCGTGGAGCTCTTTAACTCGTCGCTCACTCCCTCGGGAACTAGTAACTCCTCGGCCCAGCTCACGCAGCTCGGGTTCGGCGCCATGGACCCATGCGCGGATGTGATCAACCCGTGCGGCGCGGGCGTGTGCTACAGCTCGTTCGGCATGGCGCGCTGCGACTGCTCCGTGATTCCCGGCATGGTCGAGGTCGTCGCGTCGCCCACGTCTAAGTGCGTGCCGCGCTACCCCTGCTCCACGCGCACCAGCGGCACCGTGCCCATCAACCCGTGCGGCGGCGGCACGTGCACGGATCTCGGCGACGGCTCCTACACCTGCACCTGCTCTCCCGTACGTACCCGGCACGTTATTCCGCATCCCGCCGTGCGCGCGCGCAGCCCTCGCGCGGGTGTCGCGGCGGCTTCCCGCTGCCCGCTACCTGCCGTTTCCAGCCCGGCTTTTCCTCCCGCTCGTTCCTGGCACCTCTCCGCCACGTGCCTCCCCATCGTGCGTCTCCACTCACCACTGCACCTCCCGTGCCCCCCCTTGCCACCTCCCTATGCGCGCGTGTTACGCAGGGCTTCGCCATTGGAGCAGCGGTGGACGGCTCGCCCACGTGCATGCCCTCCTCGGGCGTGGCGAAGGTCTACACCACAGTCCCCGGCGACACCTGCTCGGTACGCGCCCTCTGCCCTCTGCCCTCCGCCCTCTGACCCGTGTCTTCTGTTTGCTTCCTTTCTTTCTTTCTTCCTTTCTTTCCCTTGCTCTTCTCCTTTCCTCTTACGGAAACCCATGTCTCACCGTGCCTCTCGCCCTCACTTTGACCCTTCCTACGTGCGCGAGTGCAGACGGTGGGAGATTCATACAACATGACGAGCGACAATCTGATGTCTCTCAACACGTGGCTTAACTGCACGGCCACGGACTACCTCCCTCCCGGCATCGCCATCACCATCGCACCAAGCCCCAACATCACCACCACCACCGTCACCACCAGCGCCAGCACCACCACCTCCACCACCACTTCTTCCTCGACGTCCACCTCTTCTACCTCGAACTCGTCGGCCCCTGCGACTGTCACCACGACGGGTGCAGCGAGCACGAGCGTGTGCACGTCCACGTACAACGTGCGTAACAAGGACACGTGCTGGTCGCTCGCGACAACGTATTTCGGCGGCAGCATCAACAACCTCCTGGCTATCAACCCACGCCTCTCGTGCATCCGGCTGTTCAAAGGGCAGCAAGTGTGCCTCGTCATGAACACCACGACCATCACCCCCATTGCCAACAGCACCGCCTCGCTTGTCCCGCCCGCGCCTATCCTCAACACCGTCACCACCACCACTACCAACACGGCTGGGTTGGTGTCAGACTCTGATATGGAGAACAAGGGGCGGTCTGCGCCTGAGTGTGGGCAGACGTACGTTGCAGCGGTGGGCGAGTCGTGTGAGACGGTGGCGAGCCGCTACATGATGTCGGCACGCTCCTTCTCCACGTACGTCGTGTGCCTCTCTGCTCCCGCATGCACTGAAAGTAATCAGCTGTCTTCTCCTTTCTTTCTTTCTTTTTTCTTTCTCTTTATTTCCTCGTTTCATTTCTTCTCTTCTGGTTTAAGCAGATGGTGACAGCTTTGTGATACCGTCTCTCCTCCGTTGTGTCTGTGTCCGCCCATGACAGGCTGAATCCCGTGCTGGACTGCAACAATCCCCTCCCTGTGGGCGCCTCTGTCTGTGTTGCTGCCAAGTCCGCTCAGGTATGTGCGCATCGCGACACCTTCATCTCCCTTCCACCCTTTGTTTGCACCCTTTCCACCACTGCACACATCCACCATCCATTCCCTACCACCCCCCCCCCCCCCCCCCCTCCCCTCTCTCTCATTCACTCACCCTCTCACCTCTCCCTCTCTGTCTGTCTCTCGCTCCCTGCAGACGACAGTAAATTGCACGTCGTGGTACCGCGTGGCACAAGGCGACACATGCCCCACCATCTGGAACGCTGCCAACCTCACTCTATCCATGTTCACCGCCATCAACCCTGGCATCCGGGTATGCCTCTCCTCTCCTCCCCTTCCTGTCTGTCTCACTTCTCATCTCTCACCCCCATGCTGTCCCCTCCTGCCACATCAACTCCTCCTGGTGTCCCACCACCATGTGTCTCTGCCCTGCCATTCTCCTTCCCCTCCGTCTCTACGACTCCTAACCCCTCCATCCCCTCTGCTGGTGCCTCCTCATCCCCTCTCCTTTCCCGCGGTGCAGTGCGAGGCGCCGTACCTAGCAGTGGGGCAGATGGTGTGCATCGACTCGCCAGTGCTGGTGACCATGCGCGCCAACCCCAACGTGAGCTACTCGCTTCACACGGTGCGCCAAGGCGAGAACCTCGCAATCGTCTCCTCAATCTACATCTCCCGCTGCACCGCCGCGTCTGTTTCCCCCGAGTCCATCGCTGCGGTCAATAATCTCCCCAACAACGCGACGGCGGAGCTCGAGACCAACAGCACCATCATCATCCCCTGCGTGGGCCGCGCGGGCGTGCTGGACTGCGGCTGCGCCGTGTCACAGACCGTTTGCGGAGCGGACTTCCAAACGTATCCGTCGTACTGCGATGCCGTGTGCAACTACGCTGTGCCGATTCGCGATACGGCTCCGTGCAGCGGGTGCTATGCGGCTTGCGCGGGCCGGACTGGAATTGCGCCAATTGCAGGGTACGGTTGCTCGTGGGCTGTCTGCCCGTACCCCACGTGGTCGCCCTCGGACACGGATAGCTCGCAGATGGTGGGCGACGCCGACGGAAAGCGGTGCGCGTACGTGTCGTCGACGTGCGACAGCGTGTGCACGGCCACGATGCAGACGCTCGCGGGGACCGCCACGCAGCAGACGACGAATTACAACAACTGTTACAACCAGTGCATGTGCTGCTCTCGCATCCCCTGCGCTGCCAACGCATGCAGTGCACCCTCGAGCTGCTGGAATCAGAGCCCCCGCAAGTGCATCTACTCGAATTTCAAGTACACCTGGAACTGCAGCTGGTTCCCTGCTGACTCTCCACTGCCTTGATGAGAGTCTGGAGGGAGTTTGGAGAAGCATATGGTGCTGTGTTCCCTTGGTGGGTCCACTTACTCTCCTTGTGGACGAAGCTGCTGCTGCATCCCGTTGGAGGCTGGCGCATGAACTGGCCAATTGTACGATAATAGTGTATATCTTCCCGTTTTCTTAAGCTGCCAGCTAGGGTTAGCGTAGGCTTGGGAAAGTACCGGTAATGCATTATTTCATTTTTGAGATAGGTCAGTAATTGCATGTGAATATTGATACTAATGTACACTACAAAAATTCCCATGCTCTCCACCCTTGCTTTGTGGTCTCATTTCCGCTAGATGCATTATGAGATCCGATCCATAGTGTATTGGGGACATGAGTTGAGGGGAGGAAGATGGGGGGAGCCCTGTGGGTGGAGGCTTAGTAAGTGGTGTCCGCCCCGGTTGAATAAACGCTTGAGAAATATTCGTCGGGGCTTTTTTATGGGGCGTGACGTGACGGGGGGGTTCATTTACATGGGGTCACTTTCTGGGTTGCTTTTATTCATCGTATCGGATGGTACTGGGGTAAATGATCAGCCATATGCCAGGTCAGGTTGCACTCACTCTGGATGTCAACAATGTTTGTAGGGTTATGGTGAAGTAAACTGTTTTCTACTAGGCATAATTGAAAGTGAGCCGCATACACCTTTGAATTATCGCCCCTCTATATCGAGATTTCGTTCCTTCGGGAAGGTTGCCTCCCAAAAGGGACTCGCCCCGCTCTTTTGCAATCCCCTGCTGAATCGTCAGCAACAAGCTGGCAGAGCGGGCGGGGCGACGTGGTGGTTATTGTTGGCCGAAGTACATATCTCCTCGCAGAGCCTAGGGAATTGCAATTTTCATTCCTTGCACGTTCCATTCCTCCTCGACCAAGTATTTTGGAGTAATCTTGTCCAGCTCAGAACGTCTTTGTGTCCCAGCATTTCAGTGGCAGAAGAAGCGTTTCCTGTGTCGGTGGTTAAGGAGCTTCTTTGCCCAGCAAGCATCCTCTTTTCCGCGCTATCATTAATAAGTTGAAAGTGGAGCACAGTCCCATCGACCATGCAACAATGCGTCCGTCTGATTCGCCCTCACACGGGGTGCCAGCTTCTTAGTGTGCAATAGTCGTTTTGTATTGAGATACATCAGCAAGCGCGCGCATCTTATCATGCAATCTTCGGCGAGGAGCTCAAGCAGGGAAACCTAGCGCACTTGAGACCGAGATTTTTGGAATACTTCTTTTTCGTCATCGAAGCTCTTGATCGGAGTCGTTGGGCAACATGGCTGTTAGCGCTGATGGTATGCTGGCAGCTTGTCTGGCAATTCGATAACTTTTCTCTTCTTCTTTTTCTTTTGCTTTGCTTGTCTGGTCCTTATTGTTTCGTTTGCTCGGCGTGTTTTCGCAAATCGACTTCTCAACATTATATGCTGTTTCTTGTTACCAAGCAGTGGTGCGCGTGCGCGACCGTGAGTGTTCTGTTCCGCGCCAAGCGGCAGAGCAAGCGGATTGCCCTGATATGTGGACTCGGTCCATGTGCGTTCCGTCTTTAATCCATCAGCCTTCTTTTTTAACTCTCTCACTCACTCTCACTCGTTGCCGTGTGCTCCCCGTGTGCCCTCGTTCCCTGCAGACCGCGTGTTGGAATTCGTGAGACAGGTGCGCCTTCCCCTCCTCCGTCTCTCCCTCTCAACCTCCGCTGCTCGCCTCTATCTTATTCCGCAATTGCAAGTTTTCCTCCCGCCTTGCCCAATATTCTTATTCGCGATGGACACAGCCACCGTTGTACTATCATGTATGGAGCATTTGCACTCCTACCAATCAACCAAATCTTCACTTCCATTTCTTAGCTTTGCTTCTTTCCGAACCCAACCCCCCCTTCCCCCTCCCCTCTCCCCCTTCCCCCCTTCCCCTCTCTCCATCCCGTACTACTCCTTACATTCCCTCCTAACCCCCTCTCTCTCCCCCACCCCCCTCTTCCCACCCTGTTTCCCCTCCACTGTCCGTACCCTTTCCTACCTCTCTCCCACACAACTCCCGCCACGCCACCCCTCCCCGGCCAGCAAAACCGGCCAGTGAACGTGCAGAACGTGGCTGACGCGCTGCAAAAGTACAGCATCAAGAAAACTGCCGTACAAAAAGCCCTGGACGCAGCAGCGGCGCGCGGGGACGTCTCGTTCAAGGACTACGGCAAGCAGCGCATCTTCATGGCGCGGCAGGACGTGCTGGATGTGCCTGACACAGCGGGGCTGGACGCTCTCAAGGCGGGGAACGAGCAGCTCAGGGAGCAGACCATGCGCCTCCGGGAAGACTGCGCTGCCCGGGAGAAAGGTGCGTGCAGGCGGGATGGAGGGAGGCTGCGGGGCACGGGAAGAGAAAAAGGGGGGGGAGAGGAGGAAAGGGAGAGGCAGGCGGGGTTGGGGAAGTGAGCGGGGCAGGGGGGGGGAGGTGGGGTGTTGAGTGCAGAAGGAAAGAGTGGCCAGGGCAGGTTTGGATAGCGGGATGTAGCAGGAGATGGTGGAATTGGGAGTGTGATCCCTTGTTGGACCTTGCTCCGTGCTTGACATATTTTATGCATTTTCTCACATGTGTTTTATATCCGCGCTGTGGTGGTGTGTGTGCGTGCGCTGTGCGTGGCCCAACAGAGGTGCTGGCACTGGAGCAGAGCTTGACTGCGGAGGAGATAGAGCAGCAGAGGCAGAAGATGGAGGAGGAGGTATGTCAGCAGCATGGTGACGGGTGTGCTTCATGTGTGCTTGATGTGTGCTTCATGTGTTCTTGCCGTAATAGAGGTCACACATTACTCCTCATACACATTAGGTGGGATCATTTCGAAAAATTGATGCCTTGTTTCGTTCTCCTATTTCCTGTTTTTCTTCTCCCCGCCTCTCTTCTCCGGCCTTCCATCGGTATACCTCCTCCCCCCTCTCCCCTCTTTCCCCGTCTCCCCTCTTCCCACCTCTCCCATGTGCTGGGCTGAATCAGAACGCAGCTATGGAAGCAAAGCTGGAGGCGTTGAGGGATGGAGGAAACCATATCACGTCGTCGCAACGACAGCAGGCAGAGGAGCAGTACCAGCGATTCATGGGGCTGTGGCGGAAGGTACAAGGATGAATCATTGAAGGGTGGGGGAGATGTGGAAGAATGAAGAAGTGACAGGAGTGGATGGGAGAAGGACGGAGTGTAAAGGGGGTTGGGTGTAGGGAGCATGTGTATTTGTGTGGTCGTGCATGTCACGTCTTCCCTTGATTTCATGTCATTGCATGTGCTGTTCTGTTTCATGTCGTCACTTTAATTTAAACAATAAATCTGTAGTATTGCATCTCTCCATTGTAACACATAAAACCTCCTTCCTTCACTTCCCTCCATCCCACCGCCCCCCTCCCCTTTCTCTCTCTCCCCCGTTTTTTTTTTCCTGTCGTCCAATGCCCTCCCTTTTTGCTTTCCTTTCCTCTTGTTCTTGGCAATCTTCTCCGCTTCGTGCCTGGCTGGGCTGCACGGGAGCAGCGCAAGAGGCTGTTCAACACATTCTTCTCCACAGTCACAGACGGCATGTCTCGCAACCTCAAGGAATTTCAGGTCTTTCTCTGCACCTGCCCATGCTTACTTGCTGTGCCGCCAACCCGTTTCTTCATGTACGCTTCTCCCACTACCTCTTGTTGCCTCTCTTTGCTGCCCTGCGAGTTTGTTGCAGTTTTTTAACCTCAACTTCCACCCACCCACCCAATGCACCTCCCCGTTGCTGCGTTGCTGTGGGCCTCAGGAGGAGCTTGGGGTGGAAACAGACGAGGACATTGGTGTGAGCATTCAAGAGTGCAGCAACCTCCAGGCGTCCATGGCAGGAGGATCGTCTTCGGCTACCCAAAAGGCTCCCGTGAAGGGGCGTGCAGCAGTCAGTGCCAGCAGTGCGAGCACGATCGGTTTAAAGAAAGCGAATGGAGTGCATGGGTTGGGTGGGATGGATGTCGGGATTCCCAAAGGCAGCGTTACGGTGCAGAAGGGAACCAACAAAGCGCCAGGAAGTGCTTCTAAAGGAGCTAGTGCAGGTGGTGATGGTGCAGCTGCTGCTGCAGGAGGTGCTGGGGGAACTGTGGGAGGTGGAAGTGGGGGAAGAAAAGGAACGGCTGGATCCGGGAAACGGGGTGCAGCAGGTGCAGCTCCTGGTGGGGATGGCGAGATAATAGATGGAGTTGGTGTGGTTGGAGGTGAGGGCGATCTGGTGGGAGTGTCTTTGCATGGGGTGGAGGAGGCTGAGGTGGGAAAGAAGGGCAAAGTAAAGGCTCCCAAGAAATCCAGGAAGAAGTGACAGCTTGTTGATGGCTTACATGTTTTTGGTGTTTGTGGTTGATTGTTGTGCACTGCTTGGGGTTGTTTTGAAGTAAAGCATTCAATAGAAGTTTATTGTCGATGTGAGGCACACGCAGCTCATTCCTCCATCTCCGATAATAGGACGTTCCCCATCTCGTCATCACCACCCGCTGTGGTGCCAGCGGGTGCGAACTGTCCAGGTGCAAGCCACACTTCTTCCCCACTAGACGAAAAAGCAGCAAGATACCCGAGCCCCAGTTCCCAAACGCACCCAAATCGGGGTGGTTACCGCTGAAGCCGAAACTGTAAACAAGACTTCGCGGACTCGCGACCGAACACCAGCACTGACACAAGTTCCTGTCAGCCAAAGACGCGGCTGGGAGTAAACAGCCAATCGCAACCAGCAGTGTAGATTTCGGATGGTCTGACAAGTTCCCGAAATGTCAAAACGAGCTCAAGCCTGAATTATGTCAACGGAAAATTGCTTGTTGCAAGCTCACCTTGCTGAGCACGGGGTGCGCTGTGTGCGGTAGTCCAACTTCAACAGCTTGATCGGGTTTCGATTGTTGTTTTCAGTCTGTTTCTTAATCTACTGTCTGCTCTGCTATCCATCAAGCCAACAGCTGCGCCATGGGTGAATATCTTCAGCTCACACGTATGTGGTCCCCCCCCTGTTATCTGTCACCCTCAGCGCTGTTATTTTCTGCTGCTGATTTCAAGATAGTGCTAACCATTTTCAACTTCACGTTCTTTTACAGTTGTCGGCGCGACTGACCTCATCGACGTGAAAGCGTGGGAAATAGGAAAACAGGATCCGTATGTCGTGGTTGTTTACAACGAGTACGAGTTTCGGACGAAAGTTCACGAAGGCAAGCGCTCCTCTGTTCCCTATGCCGTGAATAGACTCTTAATTTCTACAATTGGCCTCGCGTCCACGTGTCATAGTTGGCTTGGAAGCAACTAGACAAGCTAACGTTCGGTTTTGACGGCGTTGTGAACAGATGGGGGAAAAAATCCCGTTTTCAACGAAACATTCACCTTCCCCGTGAGCACCAACCCGACAATTAGCATAACAATCTTCCATGACCGGAAGAAGCACGACGACGTCATCGGAGTTGGAAAGTACGGATTTTCTTGTCCACCATTGCCTTGCTCCACTCGAGGTCTTCCTTTTTCTTTCCTTTTCTATTTTCTTCCCAAGCTTTTTATCTGTATTGATCGGAGGCACTCACTGCGGCTCATCTGACGACCAGGTTGGCGTTTGGAAGTGCGTTTGCCACCGGATATGCGCACGAGAAGCTCCCGCTGTTCACCACTGAGGGCAGGTAAGCCTCTTCCGCGCACAGCGCTTCCTGTAGAATTTTGACTTTGTCAATAGTAACTTGCGTTAGTTGCTGTGGCTCGTTGTTTCAGGCAGCAAGGCTTCCTCGAGGTTGTCATGAAGTTTCCAGCAGTGGTAAGGTGTCCCTTATTCTTTCCCCCCCACCCTCCCACCGCGCCACAACCCCCCTCCCCCCCTCACCCCACCCACCTTCCCGCCACTCCTCCCCTCGCACCCATTTTCCTCTCTCTTGCTTTCCGCACAACCACACAAACACCCACACCCTCACGCCTACACAACGACCACACACGCTCCACACGCACGTGCACGTATGCACGCACCCACCCACCCACTCACTCACTCACTCACTCACTCACTCACTCACGCATGCACGCACTCGCTCAATCACTCACTCACGCATGCACACGCACCAATCACTTACTCAATCCCGCATGCATGCACGCACGCAGGGCCATGTACTCACCCCAACCCAGGATTGCCCTTGGTCCCGTTAATCCATTCCAGATAGAGCGGATTCAGGCACAGTTGGCTGCAGCAGAGGCTGCACGGCGGATGGAGGAGATGCGAATCAGCGAGGCCAAGGCAGCATACGCGGCGAAGCTGAAAGACGCGCTGAAATACCGCAAGCAGCAGGCAGCTGCAAAGGCAGAGGCGCAGCAGGAAGTCATGGACGCGTCTCTGCTCTCCCTCAACAACGCCTTCTCCTACGCCATGTCGGATCACTCCTCACAGACTAATTCTGCCAAGTCTGCGTTCCTGGGTGCCGAGGCTGCCAGTGCTGAGCAGCTCAAGGCTGCTCTGGTTGTGGATGAGCCGGGGTTTTATGCCAAGCTGTGCAGGGAGACTGAGGGCGAGGAGGAGTTCAGGCCCGAGATTGATGCCTACACTGGGGCTGTTTTTGCAGCAGCGCGCAAGCGGTATGGTGCAGTAGAGAAGGCGAAGACAGAGTTTCAAACAGCAGTTGAGGAGGCTGTGACGAAATATTTCAGCAAGCTGCAGAGCATCCAGAGTGGGTTTGAGAAGGAGGCAGGGGAGGCGTCCAAGGAGTATATGAAAGAAGCTCGGACAAAGATCTTCTGGAAGGAGGAGGCTCAAGCAGAAGCTGATGTTGCAGCTTATAAGCCTCCCCTTTAGGAATTCGAGCTGTACACGGACCTGCTCAATGCAAATGCGAGGGTGAAGCTGCACACTATGGGTATTAGGATGTAAATGTGACTGGAAAGGTGCAATATGCGGTGTGGTGTAGGAAGGTATTGGTTGTTCAGTTAGGGGTGCAAATTGCAATCCAAACAAAATGTACGGTATTCTCACACTTTCTATACTTTGTACTCACCACAAAGCGTTGTGGCACTACTCACTTTTCAGACACCATATTTAGATGGAATCCTACCTTTTTGTTGTTTCCGTTTTCCTTCTGCACTTTCATTACCATACAGAGCCTGATGCCTCCGAGTTGCCTCAGAAAAGTATGTTGACAGTCCAGAGTTCTCATTAATATGGTATTGCTGACAATTCCACCAGCCCCCAAGAAAAAAGGTCCGCAACGCAGTCTCGGGACCTGCTCCGAACTGAGCGAAAATGCACCCTTCATTCTGCGGCCCTCCCAAAGCTAAGTTACAATGAATAAAGGAAGGCGAAACACCCTCTGCTAGCGCAATTACTTGGGTACAATCGCTGAACTTAGATACCCGTACCACCCGGCATGGCTGTCAGAGAGTGTCAAATGGTGCACAGAACTATCCAGGCCACAGTGTAGCCAGTGAAGAGAAAAAGACCAACAACAAAGTCGATTCTGACTGCAAGCCGGTAGTTGCCTTTCTTAGCTCTGTCGGGGTCGGACTGTCTCACATGGTAGCCAAACAACCGGAATCTCTGCCAAGACAAGGCACCAATCAGTGATTTGGGGTAGAAGAGGTTAGATGGCATCGTAATCCAGGGAAAACCAGAAATATGCCAGGAAAAACGTTAATCAGGCCGGGGAAATTCAGATATACGGTAGGCCAGGGAAATGCAGAAATAGGCCGGGGAAGAGCAGAAATAGGTTGGGGAAAAGCAGAAATAGGTCCAGAAAAAGCAGAAATAGGCTGGGGAACAGCAGGAATAGGCCGGGGAAAAGCAGGAATAGGCCGGGGAAAAGCAGGAATAGGCTGGGGAAAAGCAGGAATAGGCTGGGGAAAAGCAGAAATAGGCCGGGGAAAAGCAGCAGGCCAGAGTGCAGGGTGAGCCCAACTCGACTCACTCATAGCAGCAGCACTCTGCGGCAGCTGCAGTGGCAGCAGCAGCAGCAGCAGCAGCAGCAGCAGCAGCACGCAGGCAGGGCAGTGGAACATACCATCAGGCCTGGGACATTCTTCTTCTGCTTCTCCTCAGCAGCAGCAGCCCTCCTTGCAGCCGCAGCTTCCGCAATGGCTTCAGGGTCGTCGCTGTCAGCGGCCATCAGCTTCTCGCCTGCTGTCTTGTCGGCATCGGAGCGGCGCTTCATGGAGAGACCGGGTGGCAGCGTCTCCTGCACGAGCTCCTGCACGTTCTTCTCGATGCGCTCGGCGATGCAGAAGGCGACGAGGGTCTCCATGGTGCACAGCCAGATGACGATGTAAGACGTGATCATCAGGTACCCAAAGTTGGTTATTGCTGACGTGCGTGGTAGCTGCCATTATGTAGGGGAGGGGCGGAAAGAAGGAAGGGGGGTGAGGGGGAGGAGAGATTCAGGAGGGGTTTGAAGCTAAACTGTGGGATGAGAGAGGAAGCAGAAGAACTGGATTGGGAAGAGAGGGCTGAGGCGAGAGCGGGGAGGGGTTGGCCGGGGAAAAAGTGGTGCGGGCGTGACCTGGCTGTGATTCTGAGAAGGGGGAGGGGCGTGACCTGGCTGTGATTCTGAGAAGGGGGAGGGGCGTGACCTGGCTGCCATGATGCACTCATCTTAGCACCAACCATTAAGGGTGTCAATGCCGAACCTGGCTGTCAACAACGAACCTGGCTGTCAATGCCGAACCTGGCTGTCAATGACGAACCTGGCTGTCAATGACGAACCTGGCTGTCAATGACGAACCTGGCTGTCAATGACGAACCTGGCTGTCAATGACGAACCTGGCTGTCAATGACGAACTGAATGGCGACGAGTGCAAGGAAGAGCGTGAGGCACGCCCCCAATCGAATCTCGAGATCCTCTGGCTTTGCAATGAAGGCCGTGAATGTGAGATAGACGCTCAGGATGACCGGCAGCAGCACCTGGTGGGGTGAGCGAGGGACGAGAGAGGAGAGAGGAGAGAGAGAGGGGAGAAAAATACAGAGGAAGAGGAGGGGGAAGGGGGGGAGGAGGAGGAGGAGGAGGAGGAGGAGGAGGAGGAGGAGGAGGAGGAGGAGGAGGAGGAGGAGGAGGAGGAGGAGGAGGAGGAGGAATGACAAGTGGAAGAGAGAAGCAAGGCAGGATGACACGTGGAGGAGAAGCAAGGTGGGATGATGAGTGGAGGAGAGAAGCAGAGCGCAGCCTTGATTTAAAGCGGAGAGTTGCAGTGGTGAGAGAGGAGGCATGAGAGGGAGCGTACAGCGATGACGTAGACGCTGCTGGTGCGTTTGATTTGGATGGTGAAAACGCATGTTGAGCTCTGGTTGCTCGCTGCTCCATCGCTGCCGGTGTTGTCCGGTACGGCGTTCCACGGGTCCTCTGGGGGCGAGGGGGAGTAGCAGCGGGCAGCACGCAGCAGGCAGCAGGCAGGCAGGTTCAAGTGAGAGGCACAGGTACCAGGAGAGGGGAGGGGAGGGGAGGGGTGGGAGCAAAGGGAGGGGTGGGAGCAGAGAAAAGGGAGTAGTGGGAGGGGTGAGAGCAGTGGCGGGCAGGGTTGGGGAAAGAGGGAGGGGTGAGAGAAGAGAAAGAAGAGCGGAAAAGAACAAGGAGGGTGGGAGCAGGGTTGGCTCTGAAGCATGTTATGATGCATTGGGCACGCGCCAACTTGCAAGAGCACTGTACACCTGACAGACACACCAATCGTGTGCAGTGCAGAGCACGATCGATCGCCTTCCTGAAGAAAGACGTGATGCGCCCGCACCAGCTCATGCACACGCCCACCCACACTCCTACGCAAGCACACACATGTGCATTCACCTGCACGTGCATTCACCTGCACGTGCATTCACCTGCACGTGCATTCACCTGCACGTGCATTCACCTGCACGTGCATTCACCTGCACGTGCATTCACCTGCACGTGCATTCACCTGGAGTGTAGGTAGCAGAGCTGCTGACAGTGGTGTCAGAGGGAGTGCAGTTGAGAGCCACACTCGCGATCTTCCAGCCCGTGACCTCATCATTCACGTACGTGCCTCCCCCTCCCCCCAGCTGCCCGCCCCCCTGCTCCGACTGCCGTCCCGAGTTGCTCCCCACCAGGTAGAACTCGCCACTGCCCTCCACCGCCACCACCAACCGCAGCACCTGCAGGCGGGGGGAACGGGGTGGGGGGAGGTTGGGGGGGAGGTTGGGGGAACGAGCGGGGTGGGGAGATACAAGGCAGCGGATGAAAGGCCGGGAAAGAGAGCGGAGATGTGGGCTATGAGAAGGGGCGGAGTGAGGGAGGGAGGTCGCGCAAACACATTGGGGCCCCAATGCAAAGGTTGCAGGTGCGAGGGTGCGGCCGTTTCTTGTGAATGCCTTTGGATGGAAGGTGAGAATACCAGACGAAAGTGGCAGTTGCAGGAGGCTTTGAGAGGAGGTGTGGCGTTGTGGAGCGCACTTTTGAGTATTCTCAAAAGTGAATTCGTAGGTTGGAGCGTTACCCACCTGGGAGTCAAAGGGGAATTTCTGGAAGGCGAAGGGCGAGGAGAATGTTCCTGCACGATGGGGCGAATGGGGGAGAGAGATGGGGATGGAGAGCAATGGGAGCGATGGGAGAGGGGAAGGGAAAGGGAGGGAGGGAGGGAGGGAGGGAGGGAGGGAGGGAGGGAGGGAGGGAGGGAGGGAGGGAGGGAGGGAGGGAGGGAGGGAGGGAGGGAGGGAGGGAGGGAGGGAGGGAGGGGGGAGGGAGGGAGGGAGTGAGGGAGGGAGGGAGGGAGGGAGGGAGGGAGGGAGGGAGGGAGGGAGGGAAGAGGGAGGGAGGGAGGGAGGGAGGGCGGGAGGGAGGGAGGGAGGGAGGGAGGGAGGGAGGGAGGGAGGGAGGGAGGGAGGGAGGAGGAGGGAGGGAGGGAGGGAGGGAGGGAGGGAGGGAGGGAGGGAGGGAGGGAGGAGGGAGGGGGGAGGGAGGGAGGGAGGGAGGGAGGGAAGAGGGAGGGAGGGAAGAGGGAGGGAGGGGGAGGGAGGGAGGGAGGGAGGGAGGGAGGGAGGGAGGGAGGGAGGGAGGGAGGGAGGGGGAGGAGGGAGGGAGGAGGGAGGGAGGGAGGGAGGGAGGGAGGGAGGGAGGGAGGGAGGGAGGGAGGGAGGGAGGGAGGGAGGGAGGAGGGAGGGAGGGAGGGAGGGAGGGAGGGAGGGAGGGAGGGAGGGAGGGAGGGAGGGAGGAGGGAGGGAGGGAGGGAGGGAGGGAGGGAGGGAGGGAGGGAGGAGGGAGGGAGGGAGGGAGGGAGGGAGGGAGGGAGGGGAGGGAGGGAGGGAGGGAGGGAGGGAGGGAGGGAGGGAGGGAGGGAGGGGGAGGGAGGGAGGGAGGGAGGGAGGGAGGGAGGGAGGGAGGGAGGGAGGGAGGGAGGGAGGGAGAGAGGTGTCTTGGATATGGCTCAAGGGCAGAGAAACCAGCCATTGAAGGTCAGAGCGGCCATCGGTGGGCAAGGGCGGCAGAGCATAGCAGAGCAGAGCAAAGGGTGCGAGAGCAGAGAGAGAGGGGAAGGGAAGAGGCAGTGTGGCATGCATGGTGGGGACGCACCCTCAACAATGGCCGCACCCCTAAACCCTCAACAGGGAGAGAGGGAGGTGCCTTGGATGCCAGTGACGGGGTTCAATGCCCTGCCAGCCTTTCAGGGCAGAGCGGCCGTTGGTGGACAAGGGCGGAAGAGCAGAGCTGGGCACGGGGTGCGAGAGAGCAGAGCGAGGAAGGAAGGAAGGAAGGAGGAAGGAAGGAAGGAAGGAAGGAAGGAGGAAGGAAGGAAGAAAGGAAGGAAGGAAGGAAAGGAAGGAAGGAAGGAAGGAAGGAAGGAAGGAAGGAAGGAAGGAAGGAAGGAAGGAAGGAAGGAAGGAAGGAAGGAAGGAAGGAAGGAAGGGAGGAGGAGCATGTGCGTGCCTCCTTCCTTAGCACGCTCGCAAGGAGGAGAGGCGACTCACCCTCAACGATGACCTCTCTGTCGACGGCACTGGCGTCGGTGCTGTAATCGCCAAAGAAGAATATGCTCTCTGCACACACATGCACGCACCCGCACAGACACAGACATACAAGGGGGAGGCAGGGAGGAAGAATAAGCTCTCTGCACCGACCCAAAGGCACGAGGAGGAAACGAGGGAGAGGCAGGGATGGGTAGAGATACGTTTACTGTGCCATGCATGTGCCATGCATGCGCCGTGCATGCTTGCTTCCTGGCTCCAATGGCATGTCATGGCATGGTGTGTAGTGGCATGGAACGGCGGAACGGCGTGTGTAGGCATAACGAGCGAACCTGCAGTTTGAGACCAAGCACGATATACAGGTAACTTCTGAGTCGACTCAAAAAAGTATCGTGTGACATTGTAACGAGCTGACTTTTGAGTCGACTCAAAAGTCAGCTCATAACGAGCAAACCTGCAGTTTGAGACGAAGCACGAGATACAGGTAACTTCTCTCTGCCTGTCCTTGAGTGAACCTACTAGCTTGTGACTGACAGAGAGAAAAAATGAGAGAGAGAACCGATGGAGAGAAAGAGAGAGAGAGAGAGTGAGGGAGTGAGAGAGGGCGAAAGAGAGAGGTGGGGCTGACCAGTTTGGTAGCGGTCTTGCGGGGTAGAAGACGATGTTGGGGATGGTGAGCGAGGGGATCCAGAGGGCATCGCGCATGTGATGCCCGCAGGAGTGCACTTCTTGTTGCAACCGTCCATCTGCGGCAGGTTGTTCTGCTTACATTCCGGATAACACGGAGGGGGGTGGAACGATATTGGCGGCGGCGGCGGTGGTGGTGGTGGTGTGGTGGTGGTGGTGTTGCTGGTAGTGCTAGTAGGAGATTCAAGCATGCATCACCACCCCAACCACGCATGCCCCAGCCCCCCCCTCGGCCATCCCGCTCAAGGCTACGACTCCCATCCCTTGCGCCCCCCACAATCACATCCGCATTCCCCCCGCGCATCGTTCCTCCGGCCGACCTGTTTGGTGTTTTTGAGGCAGTCGTCCTTGTGGCTGACGTTGAAGCCCGAGAACGTCACGTTGGGCATGCAGTTGGCCGTGGCGAGTCCCGTGATGGCCGGCCCCCACCGCCGACAGCACCTTGTTCATCGCCACCGTGTCGTTCACTGCCACGCCACGTCATGCCATGCCATGCCACGTCATGCCATACCATGCCGTGTCGTGCCACGCCATGCCATTCCATGCCATGCCATGCCATTCCATGCCATGCCATGCCATGCTACGTGACGCCATGCCATGCCATGCCATGCTACGTGACGCCATGCCACGTCACGCCATGCCATGCCATGCCACGCCATGCCAAACCGCACCGGAAAAGAAAGAGCGCAGAATATTCTCACTATGAGACCCAACGGTCAGCGAGGAAGCACGAAACGGCCCGACCATACCAATGAAGGGCACAGCGGTACGTCAGGGGATACGGAGAGGGGGGGAGGCGTACAGTATGAGTTCCGTAGCACGATCCGGACATGGCTCAGTGAGCTGCGTGCGTGCAGTAGGCTTAAGCAAAGGAAAAAAAACAGCAGTAAAATTCCGCTCTATGTCCAACTAAGTGCTCAGAACGATCTTAGAACCCAAATTCTTAGCAGTAGAGTAAAACAGGGACAAACATGTTTCGGTCTATTACGGGGGAAAGGCCCGATCAGACCTTCATCAGTGCCAACAATGAGAAAGAAGGGCTAAGCAATGCCTCTAAAGAGAAGCAAGGCCTCTAAGAAAGCGAACTCTAGGCTATCCACACCCAGGTCACCCAAATGACGGGGACCAACCCAGACCACCCTCGAAAACTTCAGGCAGCCACGTCTTCAACTTCCTCGAAAGTGTCAGCGTGAAGGGTTGGGTTCAGATTTTCGCCAAGGGGCAACTTCGGAAGTCGCGCGCGCACCAGTAACCTCTGAAGGTTACAACCAATTTTCCACGCAACAAACATTTTCTCCACGTATAACCCGCGTGTGATGAGTCGATTTTTAAGTCGACTTAAAAGGACCCCTAGACCGAGTCGTGCAGTAACAGGAGTGTACTGAGTCTTCAAGACTAGGGGCCCACGGGATGGGAGAGTTGTCTGTTGGCGGAGCGCTTGGTTGGCGATGGTGCTGGCGAAAAGTTCTGAACGATGAGCGAAGATGACACTTTTGAAGATGGGGTGCAGAAACACGGGCGGGTAACCACGGTCACGAAGGCGGAGGAAGAAAGACCGCTTCGTTGCTAGGAAAGTCGCAGCTGAAGTTGAGCGAAGAAGGTAACGTCTTAGCTCTGCGCGAATGAAAGACTCCTTGCAGTGCCGTGGATGGAAGGAAGCGAAGGGAAGGTACAGATACTTATTCACCGGCTTCTGGTACGTGCCGAAGTCTTAAGTACCCGCTCCTTAAAACGCGGCCCCTTGAAAAGAACAGCGTCAAGAAAATCTATGGAGCGATCCGAGATAGACCATGTGATCCTAATGTCAGGATCCAGCGCGTTGAAGGTCTGCAGGTAGGCTTCCAGTTCTACCCGCGTCCCTGGCCAATTGATTAACCCGTCATCGATGTAGCGCGCATGGTACAGAGGAGATATCCCAGCCCACTTCTCCTTCAGAAGCTCGTCCAGACGGCTCATAAACAGGACCGCGAAGCAGACAGCTACAGGTGTCCCCATGGCTGTTCCCCGCACTTGATGATAGGTCCGGCCGTTGAATTCCACGAACGAGTTCCTCATGACCCAGCCCAGCATGGCCATGAGAGGTGGGGCGAGCTGTGGTTTCTCCCTCATCAGAAAATGCTGACCGCATCAAGGCCGCGCTCAATCGAGATGCTGGGGTTAGAGCGCAGCAACATCATACGTCGCGAGCAGAACTGTCGTAGGAAAGGCAGTCCGTTCCAGCGTCGTCAGCAGCGAGAGGGAATCCCGGAGGTAAGTTGGGCGGTTAAGTTGGGCAGCACGCACCTCGAGGGTCAAGAGGGGAGCACGAGGGGGAGCTCGGAGATAGCAGCACGCACCTCGAGGGTCAAGAGGGGAGCACGCGGACGAGCTCGGAGATAGCAGCACGCACCTCGAGGGTCAAGAGGGGAGCACGCGGACGAGCTCGGAGATAGCAGCACGCACCTCGAGGGTCAAGAGGGGAGCACGCGGACGAGCTCGGAGATAGCAGCACGCACCTCGAGGGTCAAGAGGGGAGCACGAGGGGGAGCTCGGAGATAGCAGCACGCACCTCGAGGGTCAAGAGGGGAGCACGCGGACGAGCTCGGAGATAGCAGCACGCACCTCGAGGGTCAAGAGGGGAGCACGCGGACGAGCTCGGAGATAGCAGCACGCACCTCGTGGGTCGCGCCAGGTGGTGACGATGGAGAAGTAGGCGCTGTAGCTGTACTGGATCTCTGCCCGCCGCCATGCCATGCCATGCCATGCCATGCCATGCCATGCCATGCCATGACGTGCCAAGCAATGCCATGACATGCCATGCCCATGCCCATGCCCATTCCCATGCCCATGCCCATGCCATACGATGCAATGCGATGCGCGGTCACCGGGGAGGGGAAAGGGGGATGGGAGGGGGGAGAGGGACGCGGGAGGGAGGGGACGCGGGCATTTCAGACGCGGATAGGCCAACGGCTCCCGATTGGCTATGCCAAAGGGAAGGGACGAAGGTCGGCACGGAAGAAGCGGAGCTCATGCGCGCACGCGCCGCTGGCAACGAAAAAGGGCGAGGGCGGAAGGGGAAGGGGGTGGGGAGGGGGGGGGGAAGGAACGGGGAAGGGTGCGGTAATGCGGGAGCAAAAGTACTAGCGCGCGCAGTAGCAGTACCGTCGACGGCGATGAGCTTCTTGAGCAGCACGGAGACGTAGACGGGCGGCTTGGTGTCGACCAGCCCCCCCCGAGTACGGGTCGATGCCCTGCCCCACCAGCGGACAGTCCGTCTGCGCCCACGCCCCGCGCACTCCGCCGCCCCCGCCGGCGGACCGCTCATCCGCCGGCGCCAGGAGCGTGAGCAGCAGCAGCAGCAGCAGCAGCAGCGGGATTGCCGCGGCACGGGGAGTCGGCATGGATGGCGGCGGGAATCGGCGATTGGATGGCGACAACGTACGGCGGCGGCGGCGGCGGAGGAGTCCAGCATGATCAGCATGGTGATGCTATCATGGAGCGGCAACACCGCTGCTAGTAGCAATGATGTGAGACAACCTTTCCTGGGGTGACCGTGAATATCTCGGGAGTGGTAAAGAATAACGAGCAAGGATGTTGCTCCTCGGAGCAGGATGTTGCCTGCTTGGCTTTAGGAGGTGGAATGTGGAGTGTGCGGGGTCCAGCAACTGGGGGGGGAATGATTGCGCGAGCTCGGGGAGATGATGGTGGCGCGGGGAGAGTTTTGTTTGGGCGGAGCGGCGCAGAAACGCGACTCGCGAAAGGGGAAGGGGAGCAAAGTTTGGGAGGGAGAGGTGGGGGAGGGTTTGGGGGGGGGTTTCGGTTTGAGTGGTCGGCGGGGGGGTTTTTGTCATGAATGGCTTGGGTCTGGTTCGGTTCGGAAGGTCAGGCTTACGGTTTAGGTTGGCATGTCCAGACCCAAAGCGTGAGCTCCGGGTGTCAGAAAAGTAGGCACGGGCCAAGAACGCATCAGGTACGGTTCCTTCGAGATGCCGGAACACGGAACACAAGGTTTGAAGATGGGGGATATGCGGTTGCAACACGGTTTAAGCCAAGTTACGGACACCGAGCTTGCCGACTTTTGCTTGTGTAGGAAGACTAGGCTGATGTAGCTACAGTTTAGCTTCTCCAAAGCACAAGAGATGCCTCGACAAGAAGGTTTGGCACACATCACTAACATGGTATAATTTCGGACCAATGGGGTGTGGCACCAGAACGTTCTGGTTGTTCCCGAGCCACAAGTCCAAACCGAATAAGGTACGCGCGTAGATTTGCTTCCCCCAACCATACCCCCGATGGGTTATCAAGATCTGCGCAGCGCAGATGCATTATCTCCCCTGCGCAGATGGGGAAGGCAAGCATCCCCCCGTCCTGAGATTCGTTCACCAGGGGCAAGGCAACCAGGCGCTCCAGCCCAGAGATGCCTTCCGCTGTCCGCTCCCCTTCACAGGCGCGCGTAGACACCTCCCATCGCACAGTTCCACTCCACCCAACCTATATTGCGTAATTTCATCATCGGTGGCTCTTGGCGTCCAACATTCTCGCTGGGCCGCGAGCCAGTTGTTTCACCTCACCACGCATTGTAGCGTATACGTGTTGAAATCAGACGTTTTGTTTCATTCGAGGTCGAGCGGAGGCAATGGCGGCGCGTATCGCTGACCGGATGGAGTCGCAGTTGTCCCTCGTGCTGCGACTCGCAATCATGCTGCTTCCATGGACCGCGTATTTCGGCGCCGATCGCGCATGCGTTCAGCTAGCAGCGGCGCAGACGGACTGCCCGCTGATTGGTCAGGGCATCGACCCGTACACGGCGGGGATCGTGTCGGAGAAGCCGAAAGTGTTCTCTCCGTGCAGCTCAAGAAACTCGTCACCGTCGACGGTGAGCTCAAGAAACTCGTCACCGTCGACGGTGAGCCGTACTAGTACCCGCACGACGGCGCTGCTCGTACTTGCGTCAGACTCTCACGCACACTCGCCGCAGACACACGCGCGCCCGCGCGGTCACAACGCCCTCTCTCCCCCCCCTCCTCCTCCCACACACGACCTGGGATGCAAGGGGCCCTTACACAACACACACAACCACCCACCCATTCACAAACACTCACACTGCCTTCGATGTTTCCGCCCCCCATGTTCGTCTCCCCCCTTACAGCCGTGAAGTACAGCTACTTCGCGTATTTCCAAATCATCTCCACGTGGCGAGACCCTCGAGGTGCGTTTCGCCGCTCTCCCCTCCGCTTCTGCTTGCGTCGCGCCCCGCGCGCCCCATGTTTCCGCCTTTTCGCGCGGCCGCCGCCGCTTCAGATGTGGCGTCCGTTCTCGTGTCTCGTGCCACTGTGTGCTCGTCGCGCCACCGCTGCACCGCCAGCACGCAGCACGCAACAGCATTGCAATCCGTCGTCATTGTGTGTGACTTCAGTTCTTTCTCATTCCCCCCCTGCCTCTGCCCATCCCCCTGCCTCTGCCTCTGCCTCTGCCTTTGCCACTGCCACTGCGCGTTTCTGTGCTGTCTTCGACTCTGCGTGCGTGCGTGTGTCTGACTCGCCAGTGAACGACACACTGGCGATAAACAACGCGGTGAACGCGTTCGGGCCGGCGATCACGGGGCTGGCGACAGCCAAGTGCATGCCGGGCGTGACGTTTTCGGGGTTCAACATAAGCCAGAAGGACGAGTGTTTGAAGACGCCGAAGCAGAACAACCTGCCGCAGATGGACGGCTGCAGCAAGCCGTGCACTCCTTCGGGCACCATGTGCTGCGACTCCATCTGGATCCCCTCGCTCACCATCGACAACGTCCTCTTCTACCCGCAGGACCGCTTCCAAACCGGTAAGACCGCTTCCAAACCGGTCCGTTCGCCCGCTCCTGACCTCCCTCGCTTGCATGCACGCATGCATGCATGCATGCACCTCGCTCACTGCCCTCGCATCTGTCTGTCTACTGATTACTCAGTCATCTTGACGTCCCATCTTTGTGTATCCACCTCTTCCGGCATCCCTCCTCATGCCCTTCGGCTTTCTTCCTCCCACCCTTTCCCCCCCTTTCTCTCAAACCGTCCCTTTCTCGCCCCCTCTCTCTCCTCCCTCTCTCTCCCAGAGAGCATATATTTCTTCGGGCAGTACAGCAACGAGGCCAGCGCCATCGACAGAGAAGTCGTCGTTGGAGGTGCACCTCCGCTCCTATCCCTCCTCTCCCTCCTCTCATCTCCTCTCTCTCCAATCCCTCCTCTCCCTCCTCTCCCTCCAATCCCTCCTCTCCCTCCTCTCCCTCCTCTCCCCCCACTCCCCTCCTCTCTCTCCAATCCTTTATTCTCCCTCCTCTTTCCTCATCTGTCCTCCTCTCCTCTCCCTCCAATCCCTCCTTTCCCTCCTCTTTCCTCCTCTTCCGTTCTCTCCCTCCTCTCCCTCCACTATCCTCCTCTCCCTCCACTCCCCTCCTTTCCCTCCTCTTCCATCCTCTCCCTGCTCTCCCCCCTCCATCCCTCTCCTCTCCCAATCCATCCCTCTCCTCTCCCCAATCCATCCCTCTCCTCTCCCCAATCCATCCCTCTCCTCTCCCACTTCTCCCCTGCTCTCCCTCCACGCCCCTCCTTCCCCTCCACTCCCCTTCCCTCTTCTCTCCACTCCTCTTCACCCCTCCCTCCAACCCCTTTGCTCCTCCTTCCAACTCGCTTCGCCTTTCCTTGCTTCTCTCTCCACTCCCCTCCCATAACTTGCTCTCCTCGCCCTTGTAATCCCCATGCGCCTTCCACAGTCACCACTACTGCATGCAATTATGCAGCCGATGAGCTTTATGCATCTCCTGAGGCTTACACAATATCTTCCGCCCTGTGTGTGTGTGTGTGTGTGTGTGTGTGTGTGTGTGTGTGTGTGTGTGTGTGTGTGTGTGTGTGTGTGCGTGCGTGCGTGCGTGCGTGTGTGCGTGCGTGCGTGTGTGTGCGTGTGTGCGTGTGTGTGCGTGTGTGTGCGTGTGTGTGTCTGTGTGTGTTTGCGTGCGTGCGTGCGTGCGTCCGTGTGTGCGTGTGTGTGTGCGTGCGTGCATTCGTGCGAGGTCGTGCGCATGGCTGCACATGTGTCGATGTGCGATTGTGTGTGTTCAACAGGCGAGTTCTCTTCACCCCTCAGCTTCAAGAAATTTCCTCTTGACTCTCAGGTAGGTCTCTCACATGTATCCTCTTGTCCTGCTCTTGCTATGGCACACACACGCACGCACGGATGCACATGCACGCATACTCACAGACACACACACACACACACACACACACACACGGGCGCACGCGCACACACAAGTGAGCAGGCGACCAAGCATTGACGCCCATTTCTCCTTTCCACATCACACCCACGCCCCTGCCTCCGCCCCTCCCGCACCACACGCACGGCAGACGCTGCGGCTGAGCATTCAGGTGCAGAGCGGCGAGTTCTACCTGGTGGGGAGCAACTCGGGACGGCAGTCGGAGCAGGGGGGAGGGCAGCTGGGGGGAGGGGGAGGCACGTACGTGAATGATGAGGTCACGGGCTGGAAGATCAATGGCGTGGCTCTCAACTGCACTCCCTCTGATACCACCGTCTCCACCTCCGCCACCTACCATCCCGGTAACCACCTCTACGCTCCCATTCGCACTCTTAGTCCCGTTTTTGTCAGCTTGATTAACGAGATGTATGTCCTGTGCCATACATGCTGCCATGCGTCTTGCCATGCATGCTGCCATGCGTCTTGCCATGCATGCTGCCATCCATGCTGCCATTCGTCTTGCCATGCATGCTGCCATGCGTGCTGCCACGTGTGTTGAGCTGTGCAGATGACCCCTGGTACGCATTCTCTCAGAACTCACCGTCAGACAGTGGCAGCAGCAACGCCAACGAGTCCACATCGTGTGTCTTCACCATCCAGATCTCCCGCACCAGTGGCGTCTACATCATCTCCGTGAGCTGACCTGCCCTTGCCCCACTCCCCTCAGTCCTTGATTCCTTGTCACCATCCAGATATCCCGCACCAGTGGCGTCTACATCATCTCCGTCAGCTGCCCTCGCCCCCGCGCCTCTCTCGCTCGCCTATTCTTTCCGTGTGTCGTGACCTTCTTCATATCTTAAAATCAGTTATGGGAATCCTCCAACATCACCACCCATCATCATCATCATCATCATCATCATCATCATCATCATCATCATCATCATCATCATCATCATCATCATCATCATCATCATCGTCATCGTCATCGTCATCGTCATCGTCATCGTCATCGTCATCGTCATCGTCATCGTCATCGTCATCGTCATCGTCATCGTCATCGTCATCGTCATCGTCATCGTCATCGTCATCGTCATCGTCATCGTCATCGTCATCGTCATCGTCATCGTCATCGTCATCGTCATCGTCTCGTCATCGTCATCGTCATCGTCATCGTCATCGTCATCGTCATCGTCATCATCATCATCAGCATCACCACCATCATCACCATCATCACCATCATCATCATCATCATCACGTGTCGTCACTATCGTCGCCGTCGACATCTATTTTTGAGAATTCTAAAAACTCTTCCTTCCACTCTAGTCGCAAGTGCTTGCTACCTGTGCGTTGCAGCTCTCATGACTGCGAGTACTCGTCCCTTGCACCTGTGGACCCTTCTCCATCTCTGTCAGATTGTGGTGCCAGTGATGCTGAGCGTGTATCTCTGCTTCTCCGTCTTCTTTGCTCGCCCTGACGACCTTGAGACTCGGTCCGCTACTTTTGTCACGCTCTTCCTCGCCCTGTCAGCCGTGCAGTTCGTCATTGACAGCCAGGTCGGTGCATAGATGGCGGGTGGGTGGGTGGGTGGGTGGGTGTGGGTGCGTGGGTGTGGGTGGGTGGGTGGGTGGATGTGGGTGGGTGTGGGTGTGTGGGTGGGTGGGTGGGTGGGTGTGGGTGTGTGGGTGGGTGGGTGTGGGTGGGTGTGGGTGGGTGGGTCTGTCCTCGCATCGCCATGGTTCTATACTCCAGCTGACGCCATGAGCACCCTGTTTACTCCATGTGCACGGAGTGAGCACTGTGCATGCTTCCCACCGCGCCTACAACGCCTCACCAGTCACCACCAACGCGCAGCAGCAGCAAGCCCTCCCGCCCTCCCTTCACGACATTCGTAGTCGCCTCAAGTTGTTAAATTTCGGTTTCTAGTCGGCCCAAATCCGCCGCATCCCCCCTGCCCTCCTTAAATTTCCCTACACTCGTCGCTCCATTCTCTCCTTCTGCCCTCCTTCCCCCTTCTCCCCCCAATCCCCCCCCTTCTCCCCTGCTTCTTCCCCCCTTCTCCCCCACCCCCTCTCCCCCCATGCAGCTGCCGCGCTCATCAGTGATGACGCAGTTTGGCTATCTGGTCATCATCTCATACGTCTTCATCTCACTCACTGCCGTGGAAACCCTCATTGTCTACCTCATCGCCGATCGGGTGAGCCCTGCCCTGCCCTGCCCTGCCCTCCAACTCTCCCACCTGCTGCCTGCCAGGCTCCTCCCTTGAGATGTCTCAAAACTTGTGAAATCCCTCTTTGCAAAGCAACAGGTGAGGCCTGCCCTCTAACTCACCTGCGACCTGCTGCCAGGCTCTCTGTGCCTGGCCTTGTGCTGCTGTCTGCCCCTGCATAGCACCTTGGCAAGAAACCTCCAACACACGCACTCATATCTCCCTTCTCTGCTTTTCCTGCTGCATGGCCCTCCTGCCGGCCTCCCTGCCCCCCTTGCTGCATTGTTTGGCGGTTGCTGACGCGTGATTATTTTGGGGATTCGTCATGCACTTGCTCGCTGTGTGCCGCTCTGTGCCGCTTGAACCGTTCTGTGCCGATGTGTGCAGCTGGAGAAGGACGTGGTGGAGACGGTGGGGGACATGGCAGAGGGGGCCTCACGCGCCCTCCAGAGTACCCGAAATAAGCCAGGGTCCCAAAGCCCACAGAAGGTGGACAAAGCCTGTGCCTTTGTGCCCGGCAAGGCTGAGGGGGGGGGAGAGGAGAGTCAGGAGCTGTGCCCTGTGGTGAGAGATGAGGAGGACGACGAGGAGGTGGAAGAGGGGAACGAAGAAGCGGCCAGTGGCGGAGCAGAGAAGTTTCAATCCGCCTGCCTAAATCCCGAAAAGCCGCCACTTCAGAAATCCTGGGTGAGCGAGTGTGGATGTGTGTGGCAGGCGGGATTTGCGCTCGTTTTGGTGTGTGCGCAGTTGTGTGCTGTCCATGTCAGTCGTGCCCCGCATCGCAGCAATTTGTTTTGGTTCCATCCAACCCATTCTCAGCAGCCCAGCCGGGATTCACCCTGCAGCAACTTTGGAACTTGCGTGCTCATTTGTTGTGTCGTGAACTCTGTATGTGCTTGTGTTCGTTTCTATCTTGTACAGCACTTCAGCCTCTTTGGGTACCACCTCAAGCACGTTGACGACGAGCATGCAAAGTCGGGCAATTATCTTCTCGCAGCCAGAATCGACTTTGTGTGCTGTACTCTCTTCTTCATTGGATACACTCTCACTGTCATTCTTCTCTACACTCTCTAGATGTGCATCCTGCTTTCTGGAACTTGATTGTGTCGGACGATTTGTTGTCATGCAGTGGTGTTCATCTTTCTTTTGTAACAAATATGTTTCTCACGATTATCTGAAGCCATCTTAGCTCAATTAGCAACATAGTTTGCCAACTCTTTCCACAAACAAATAGACCTGAGTTATGCAAAGCTCCAAGAACAAATGCCTTTAGACGAGGATAATTACACTATGTTCATACACTATGCTTTATTCCAGTTGCCGTATGCACGCTTACTGATTCACACAATGTCGGCGGCAAGATTTGTTCACCATCTGCTAGGCGCAGCGCACATATGAACAATTATTTGTGGTAGCGAACCGCGAGGTTTGTGTGCCTGTGCATTCGAGAAAAAACTTGAATCTGCGTGAACCCCCAATAATGGCGTGCCAGTGCCATCGCAACCTCATCACGCCAGCCGTCCTCATCGGCTTCAACACGAACCCATGAAATATATGAAGCGCCACTGATACTACTAGGCTGGCATCAGCCTGCGGAATTCCCCATTACACAATAAAGTGCATCGCCTCCTCATTTTTTCGACTTGAATTAAAGTGCATTGTCTCCTGATTTCTGTCAGCTTCTGAAGCCGTGAAATAAGATTTACGCTGTCTAGATCGCGTTCCCTGTATTTGATTTCCGCACCTTTTGTCTCGCCGCTTTTATAGGATCACCTTTTGTTCAGTACATCCGCTCTGGATCGATTGCTATGAAGACGAGGCAACGATGCGCCGCATTACCCGCGTCTCCCACGCTACTACTCGCGATCCTCATAACGGTCGTTCTGATCATCGACTGCCACGTGGAATCTGCACGAATTGGGCGGCAGCGGACGAACTCCAGACGTCCCCTTCGCACGAGTACGGACTTTCTCTCACCCTGATGCAACTTTCTCCATATCCAACTTCGCTGCTACCGCTCGTCATTGCGGATATGATCTTTTTGAAGCTCGCTCACTTTCTTCCTTCCCTCGCTCGTAGTGAAACTTTCATCGGTTTACCTGCTCATATGAACCAATATGCTAATTTTCTCCGCCCTACTTCTCCCTCTCTTTCTGCTCCTTCGCCCAGAGAACACTCGGGTTCCCTCCCGCCGCCTCGGAAGCGAGATTTTTGACGGCATTGATACAGGCGGAAGCGGCAGTGATTCTGGCACGGATGTCGCTGTCGGTGTCAGTGACGTTAACGGCGGCGGTGATGCTGGGAGCAGCACCGACACTAGCGGTGATGGAGGGGGATTCAATGAAGCCGATTTTAGCGATACGGTCGGATCGAATGACACTGATTCTGGCGGGGACATGAACGGAGGCGATTTGACTGGAGATAACAACACTGATTCTGGCGGGGACATTAGCAACGGAGGCGATTGGACCGATGCTAACAACACTGATTCTGGCGGTGACACTAGCGGAGGCGACTGGACCGGAGATAATAACACTGATTCTGGCGAGGACATTAACGGAGGCGATTGGACCGGAGGAGATAACAAAACTGATTCTGGCGGGGACATTAACGGAAGCGATTGGACTGGCGATAACAACACTGATTCTGGCGGGGACATGAACGGAAGCGATTGGACGGGGACTAACAACACTGATTCTGGCGGGGGCATCAGTAACGGAGGCGAATGGACCGGAACTAATAACACTAATTTAGGTGGGGACATTAGTAACGGAGGCGATTGGACCGGAACTAATAACACTGATTCTGGCGGCGACCTTAACGGAGGCAATTGGACAGGAAATAACAACACTGATTCAGGCGGTGACTTTAACGGAGGCAACTGGACCGGAACTAACAACACTGAATCTGGCGGTGACTTTAACGGAGGCGATTGGGCCGGAACTAACAACACTAATTCTGGCGGTGACTTTAACGGAGGCAACTGGACCGGAACTAACAACACTGATTCTGGCGGTGACTTTAACGGAGGCAACTGGACCGGCACTAACAACACTGATTCTGGCGGTGACTTTAACGGAGGCAACTGGACCGGAACTAACAACACTGATTCTGGCGGTGACTTTAACGGAGGCAACTGGACCGGAACTAACAACACTGATTCTGGCGGTGACTTTAACGGAGGCAACTGGACCGGAACTAACAACACTGATTCTGGCGGTGACATTAACGGAGGCAACTGGACCGGAACTAACAACACTAATTCTGGCGGTGATTTTAATGGAGGCAACTGGACCGGAACTAACAACACTGATTCTGGCGGTGACTTTAACGGAGGCAACTGGACCGGAAATAACAGCACTAATTCTGGCGGTGATTTTAATGGAGGCAACTGGACCGGAACTAACAACACTGATTCTGGCGGTGACTTTAACGGAGGCAACTGGACCGGAAATAACAGCACTGATTCTGGCGGTGGCGGCGATGGTGGAGCAGGGGGCAGCGGCGATGGTGGTAACCCTGGCGGCGGCGACGTGTCACCCCCTGGTCCTCCAATGGCAGGTACTACTACTGCTACGGCTAGTGGTGAGAGAGCACATAGCAAAGCCGAATGCCGCTCCGCTGAGACCACCAACGCCAAGCAGTAGAAGTACTCTCTTTGCCGCTTCTTGCAATCCCCTCAACTTGTAACCCTGCACAAGTGCACGCGTCAAGCTTGTGTGGGGCCGGCTTGGTGTCGGCGGTGTATGCGCCACTGCGTTCCCTTTCTACGGCACTTGCCACCGCCTCTTGTGAGGCTCACCGGCTTGCTTCTTTCAAGTGTACTACTTTCATCCGACCTGCTGGATTTTCTCACCTGATACCAACCTCAAATGCAATCACCCATGTCGTCCCCACATGTCCCATACCAATCACGCGGTTTTCACATCGCCAGGAGACAAAGCCCTGGGTCTCGCCCCTCCTCAGAAGTCGAATGTGCTTCTATCGATGCCGGACTTCAACCCTGTCTCCCGCTACGCCACATCTCAGGTACTCCCCTCTAGCCTTCCCCCTCCGCCACGCTCACTCGCACAATCTCCCCCCTCCGCATGTCCTCTATCCTCCCCACACCCCGTCGCTCTCATCTTTCTCCCGCCGCCCTCTCTCGCCTCGTTACTCCCCGTGCCAATTCCCTGTCAGATATCCTTCGATGCGACGACGGGCGCCCCCCAGTGGACGCTCGTGAACAACGTGTCGCACGTCGCAGTGCTGTCGCCTGTTGAGGACCAGGGCGCGTGCGGTGAGTGGTGGTGCTGCGCGGCGTGCGGTGAGGCTGAGCCGAGGGGGGGACAGTATGGGCGAACTTCTAGGGCTGATGTTGCGAAATTGATGTGAGAAATGCGCGGCTCGGTTACCCCTCGTACCAAAAATTGGCATAGGTTGTGGTTGAGCTTTTTTGACATTTCCATTTCGTCACATTTCCGCAGAAAGCCCCCTTGGAGGCAGTTTTTGTCCTAAACCTTCCGCGATGAATCAGCGAAGCAAAGCAGGAGGAATTTTGCATAATGCTCATGCCACTTCAGGATCAAGGGAGAGTTCCCTTCACGCTACTCCTTCATCCCCCCGGTCTACTCCTCCCTCATCCCTCCCTCGTCCTTTTTCTCCCCGGCCCCCCCGCACGCCCCCGCTCCCACCCCCCACCAGCCGCGTGCTGGGCGTTCGCGGCGGCGGCAGCGGTGGAAGCCGCGGTGGCGATTTTCACCGCGACGACGCCCGCGCGCGCGTCGCTGTCCGCGCAGCAGCTGCTGGACTGCGCGCCGGGCACGTGCATGGGCGGGTACCCCGAGGACGCGCTGCAGTACAGCTCCACCGCGCTGCTGCGCCGCGCCTCGCAGTACCCCTACATCATGGACAAGAGCACGTGCCGCGGAGGACTCCAGGTGAGCGACGCAGAGCTGGTCTCATGGAACCGTAGAGCACGCACAGCACGCACAGCAAGCCGAACCCTCCGCATTCCACCCGACCCACCACCGGCTTCTCTCACACGCCATTCATCTGCACACCCTCCGCTCGTCCCCATCCGCACCCGTCTCGCAGCAAGCGGCATCGGCGGTGGCGCTGGGGGGGTCGCTGGGGCTCATACTGGCCGTGCGACTCCGCACCGGCTCTCCCATCACATCTGCGCACCCTCCCCTCTCCCCCCTCCACACACCCCGTCCCCCAGCAAGCGGCGTCGGCGGTGTCGCACTTCGAGCAGGTGGCGTTGGAGGGGTCACTGGGACCCATGCTGGCCGTGCGGCTCCGCACCGGCTCTCCGCTCACATCTGCGCACCCTCCTCCCCCCTCACCCCCGGTCTCGCAGCAAGCGGCATCAATGGTGTCGCACTTCGAGCAGGTGGCGTTGGAGGGGTCGCTGGGGCTCATGCTGGCCGTTCGACAGCAGCCCGTCGTCGTCTCCATCCTCGCCTCCGCGCCCGACTTCGTCGCCTACAAGGTGCGCGTTGGTGGAGCACTGGGATCGCTGCCCAGTTGAGTGCGGAAGGGCTACAGGTGCGGCCTGGGGGTAATGGGTGTGCCACCCACCATACAAACATGCCCCCGTCGTCGTCTCCATCCTCGCCTCCGCGCCCCACTTCGTCGCCTACAAGGTGCGCGCGCGTGGGCCGCCGCGGCCGTGCATGTGCGTGTGGGTATGCGTGTGCAGTGCCTTGGGTACATGCAGGCCCTCATGCGGCCGTGGAGTCACATGCAAAGACGAGGAATGTCAAGATGCGCACATGTAGCAGTTGCTCCTCGCGTCCACTCAAGCTCCGCCTTCGCCTCCTTGCCTTGCTGCTGCTGCGACCTCTGCTGCCGTCTCTGCTGTTGACTCTGCTGCTGCCTCCAATATCTTCCCTTTCTCATCCATCTCCCCTCCCTCCCCCCCCTTACCTCATCATCCCTCCCCCACAACCCCCCATCCATCCCACATTCCCCCCGTCCTGCCCCATCCAGTCGGGCATATACAGCAACGCCACGTGCTTCTCCCCCAGCAACCCCGTGCTGGACCACGTGGTGCTCGTCGTAGGCTTCCACTTCCTCTCCGCCGCCTCGGATGAGAACTACTTCATCATCCGCAACAGCTGGGGCAGCAAGTGGGGCGAGGGCGGCCACATGCGCATCGCCATGACGTCCGCGTACGGTGGCATGTGCGGCATGACGTACCAGCGCGGGCTCTACCCCACCATCAAAGGTATGGTACGACGCACACACGGTAAGACAGACACACTGGAAGATAGAACGCAGACAGACGGAAAAGCAGACGGGCGGAAAAGCAGACGGACGGAAAAGCAGACGGACGGAAAAGCAGACGGACGGAAAAGCAGACGGGCGGAAAAGCAGACGGACTCTGCTTATGGGCTCATTCGTGCTGAAGCTATTCAATTTGGACTTGCCTCTGCTCTCTGCCCTCTTGCTCCTCTCACAAACCTTCACATCGACTTCTTCTCCATGCCCATCGGTAACACCAACTGTAACAAAACTCCTTTTCTCACCTCCATCATCCCTCTGCTGCCTGTCCCCATGACCACCACAACCCCTCTCCTCCCCCTCCTCCATCTTCTGACCGCTCCTTCCGTAACCTCTGCTCTCCCTCTCCTCCCCCGCCCCTCCACTGCAGCGAGCCTGATTCAGGATCCGTGCAAGCTGGCGGTGTGCGGGGGTGGCACGTGCACGAGGACAGGTGTGGGCCGGTACACATGCGACTGCCCGAGCGCCAAGGGGCTTCTCAAGGGGGAGAATAAGGACGGCACTGAGACCTGCATCATCAGTAAGCTGGAGCGTTTCGGTTTTTTTTTTTTTTTTTTTTTTTTCCATCACTTAATGCACTGACCTTCCCAGTGTGCTGTGCTGTATGATCTCAATGAAGGTGCACTCGTGCGAGAGGGAGAGAGAGCATCATCTCAAGCACACCTGGCGAAACACGATGCTACCATTCCATCCCCGTGACTCACCATCCCGCCCGTCCCTGCAACACAGGGCAAGTGCAGCGCAGCTAACTTCCCCCTTCCCCCAACCCCTCCCTCCCCATGTCAACGCAGAGAGCAAGTGCTCGCTGTTTGCGAGCAACCCGTGTGGCATGGGAGCGTGTGTGGACGGGAGCTCGGGAGAATACTCCTGCGTGTGCCCGCCAGACTCGATACCTAGCCAGCTCAGCTGTGGGCAGCCCACCTGCGTGCCGGGTAAGGCCATTCGTGGATGGATAGATGGGTGCATCATGCATGCATGCGTGTGTTTTCATGCACCTCTCTCACACTTGCACCCCCCTCCCACCTTTTCCTTCCTTTTCACACTCGTCTCCCCTCTTGACGCAACAACAAGCAGGGGTGGTGGCTGGGCAGGCGGGAGGTGGGCAGGCGGGAGGCGGGCAGGCAGGGGGCGGGCAGGCAGGGGGCGGGCAGGCAGGGGGCGGGCAGGAGTACGAGGCTCGGGAGGGAGACACGTGCTATGCCATCTACGTGCTCTTCGGCCTCACAGAGGCGCAGTTCACCTCCCAGAACCCGGTCAGTGCTGTGCTGTGCTGTGCTGTGCTGTGCTGTGCTGTGATGCGCTGTGCTGTGCTGTGCTGTGCTGTGCTGTGCTGTGCTGTGCTGTGATGCGCTGTGCTGTGCTGTGCTGTGCTGTGCTGTGCTGTGCTGTGCTGTGCTGTGCTGTGCTGTGCTGTGCTGTGCTGTGCTGTGCTGTGCTGTGGCCTCACTTTTGAGTTGACTCAAATATCGCCTGGAACGATGAGCATGCCCATTCCCCCATGCCTATGCCCACACATATGTGCATGCCCATGCCTGTGCTCGTGCCTGTGGTGGTGCCAGGGCGTGGAGTGCAACCCTCTCAAGCCTGGAACGCGCCTGCGCCTCACTCCACCAGACACCACACGCACATGCACCACCCGATACCCCATCTCCAAGGTACTGCCTCCAGAGTATTGCCTCATCTCCAAGGCACTCCTCCTTGCACCAGACATGTTTTCTGAGTCGACTCACAGAATGGGCTCTTGCACCAGTGCTTCATCACACCATGTATGTAGGCACCGTTCGCACATCCTCAAAACAATCCCACTGCCTCCCTTACCTCCGTAACACCTCGAATTCCCTCTCCTCCCCTTCACATCTCCCCCTCTGCCCTCTCCTCTCGTCCTTGACCTTCCACCTTCTCGCCTTAATCTTTCTACTAATTTCCCTATTCCCTCCACCCATGACGTTCCTGCCCTGCTCCAAAGGCGGACAGCCTGGCAGGAAGCTGCGATGCCATCAACAGCAGGTTCGGCATCCGAATCACGGACCTCAACCCAGGATTGGACTGCACAAAACTGCAACCAGGGCAGCAGGTGCGGACAGGATATCATGAATGAGGGAGGTGGCGAGGGACGGGGAGGGAGAAGAGGGACGAGACGGTGGTTGGGGTGTGACGGAAGCATAGGACCACAGCAAGCATGAGAGCACACACCTGGTCTGTTTGGTCAACTTCCTCTCTCTCCATCCCCTCCTCTCTGCACCTCCTATTTGAACCCTCCTGTCTGCAACCTCATTTCTCCACCCCCTCCTCTCCCCACCTCTGACCGCAGGTGTGCATTGAGTGGGGCACTGCAGTGGGCGGCAGCGGAGGGGGTGGGGGCACGTACCAGCAGTGCACGCAGTACCACGCAGTGGGCCCCAACGACACCTGCGACAGCATCTTGCAGTCCAACCCCTCGCTCTCCTGGCGCTCTCTCTACCGCCTCAACGTGGGACTGCTCTGTGATAACCTCAACCCTCTCCGCAACCAGGAGGTGGGTGGAGGGGGAAGGGCAGGTGGGAATAAAGGGGGAGGGAGTGGGGGAGGAGATTGTGGTTTTTGTTTGATGTGCCACATACAATGGCTGCTACACACTCAGGAACAAAGAGCTTTCGTGCATAACCAGGTGCGTATTCAGCTGCTGCAACTTCAAGCTTACTCTTCTGAATGCATCTTCCCCTCACCTACCTGCTACCTACCTACGTACCTACCTACCTGCCTACCCCCCGTGCTGTCATAACACCCATCAATCCCACCCACCCACACCCCCCTGCCACCACAATCTACCTACATTTCCTATTCCATCCCTTCCCTCTCCTTCATGCCAACTCCCCAGGTCTGTGTGGGCGCAACTCCCTTGGGAGCTATTGTGTGTGATGCAAGCAGGAGCCGCAAATACACTCTGGTAGACGGGGACAGCTGCCCCACCCTTGTAATCAAGCAGTTTAAAAGGAATCCCAGGCTCGTGCCAGAACTGAACAGGGGATGGATGTGCCGCGAACAGAACCTGTACCGAGGCAGGCCTTTGTGCATTCCAACTTAGGGGTCTGTGCAGTTGTGGTAGGTACTCTCTCTGTCTTCTCCATCTCCGCCTCCCTCCCTCCCTCTCCCTCTCCCTCTCCCTCTCTCTCTCCTCCCTCTTCCTGTCAGTTTTCCTCCCCCTCTCCCCCCCTTCCCCCCCTCCATCTCCCTCTTCCTATTCCTCTCCCCCCCCCCCTCACTCTTCGTCCCTTTCCCTCTCCTCCCTCTCCTCTCTTCCCTGTTGGCACATCAACTTGTTTGCTCCAGTTCCCTTGAATACCTGCACATAATAATGGGATTAGCAATAACCGCCGCTAAATAGTAGCAGTGACAATAAAGCATGGGAACACCTGTCATGTCACTATCCAATGCATTGCCAATATATGATATTTATTCAGTCTCACTCTTGTGTAAACTCAATATGAACGACAAAAGACAGTAGTGTTATAAGGGCAGGTCCAAAAAGCTTACAGATATATTTGAAGCACAGATATATTTGAAGCACAATTGCTAACAACTGTAGTGTGATCAGGGCGGGTCCGCAACAATACCCTATTTAAATGGGAAATATGTCAACGGTAACTTACATGGGGCACTATAATGCGTACGGTAACGATTTCAACACGTTTGGAACGCTCTGGACACGCCATCAGCCTGCCAATACCCGTACAACGAATGGATGTCACCTCGCCAACCACCTTGTGCGCAAATGTTGAACCAGCGAATAGAGTCCCTGGTGCCGTCTTTTTCCCAGCCCATATGAGCCTTTGAAACACTTGGGTTGGGCGCAAACTATATTTGGCGAGTAGGGCGGAACCTCTGTAACCAATGTCGTGCAAGTTTTCACCTCTCAACGATTGAAGTCGTTGGTGCCGTCTATTCTCCTGCCCGTGGGAGCCTACGTACCGCTTAGGTGTGATTTGGCGAATGACGTTTGCGTTGGATAGGATGCCTGCGCGTGTAGACTTAGTAAACTGAAATAGTGTAACTGAAACTGCCTTTGAAACCAGGCAGTGTAAACTTATCCATTCTGCAGGAGGCGGAAGTGAAACAACATGCCTGAATCCGGCACCATGTGTGCTACGAACCGAACTTCATGTGTGGTCCACCAAGCGCCCGACTCGGCAGACATTATCCGCACAGAACTAGAGCCTACTTAATGCTGTTTGGATGCGATTCGAACAAAACCTTCTGGTACGAGTCTGGTGTGGTCTGATCGGCACCAAACCAGACCCCACCCGACGTGGTTCGGCGAGACCACTTCCTTCTGCTCCACAGGACTCTTATCCATATCAACTGCCTGCTCTGGCTGCAGGGTCGCATCGCGTAGCGTCGCCCCCATCGAACCGAGGGAGGTTTGAGATTTGTCCGATCTCCATCATCGTCCCACTATCGGAGTCCGATTGGTCATCATCACCCACCCACTATGCAAGCTTGCATGCCGAAGCGCTCCAGCAGAGTCTTCCGCTTCTACTCGAGTAGTACGAGTATGCCTCCATCCACCTTTCTCGCCGATAGTACCAGCATTTTCTCTCATTGCACTCGTGACGGTACCGTCAGAAAAACACGACGTCTCCCCGAGGCTACTAGTAGTAAGTTACCATGGCCTTCTCGTGCTACGGCGCCTCCCCTCCGCGGTGTCTGCTCGTGTCGCTGCTGCTACTCTCCCTCAGCGTCTTGCAGATCCACGCGCGCCACCGTAGCGGCCCCGAGATAGCCGTTGCGGACGCCACTCAGCCGCATTCCCGCAGCCTTCGCGGCGGGGATGCCGCAAGTTCCCACCGGCAGTTCGACTCGCAATCACCCGAGGTACTGCGGCATCACACGAGCTGCTATGGTTGCAAATGCTATGCTAGTCGCGCGATATGTGGTTCGCACTGGTTCCACTGTGGTTTTCCCACAGTGTGGTGTTGTATTCTTGACACCTGTCCCGAAAATGTGGTGTTTCCTATTTTGCGGGCCCTCTCACGGCGAGTCATCGCAGGTCGGAGCATCCGGAGCGCGCCATCCGTCCTCCAGCAGCGTCGAAGGGGCAACGCGCAGCACCACCGGCGCGGGGAGCGGCGGCGCGGAGTCGATTGCGGAGTGGAAGCGGCGATCAGCGGAAGCGGGCGCGCACTTCTTCCCCCTGCAGCGCGCGGAAGACGCCCCCAGCAGGGAGGAGATACACCGCCGGATTCTGGCGCCCAAAGTGAGTGCGGGATGGAGGGGTGCCGCCCGGCGTTTACGATATAAGCGATATCACATGATATCATATCGTAATTCATCATGCATTATGCATCCTTTGATGCCGTGGGACGTATGAGAAGGTACGAGACTCCTGCGAGATTGCTCATGACGACGCTGCATAGCACAGAGTGGACAGCCATAAATTAGCCGCTGCCCTTTCGTTGGCACGCAACTTTTCGGGCCTTGGACTTTCGCAATGGCTGTTTGCAATCGACTCAATCGTCTGTCTGCGCGTGGCTGTGATGCTTCCATCCGTGACTTGCGCAGGGCCTGGGAGAAGGCTTGAAGGGCAACGTAGAGTCAAGCAGGGCATCTGATGTGAGTGAGCGCCGCCTTTTGAGGCGCCTCAAAAGTCGTCTCATGTTTTGAGGCGCCTCAAAAGTCGTCTCATGTTTTGAGGCGCCTCAAGAGTCAAGCAAGGCATCTGATGTGAGTGAGCAAGCCCCGCTGCCGCTGGCACAACGCTGCTGGTAGTCCTATTCCTGCACTCCAATAGTGTGGTGCGACTCTCAGACAGTCATTTGTGGAACGGTGGCAAGTGACAGGTGGCAAGCGTAACGCCTGCGGGCTTACATGAATGAGTCGAGTTGAAAAGCATCTGTTGTGCAACTGAAAGGCTTTAATAAACACCCCCGTTTTGGGCCGGTGGGGCGTGATAGTCGACATTTGACCATGCTGCCTGCCATTCGCCCATTAGCCTTGCTCGGGCTGAGCTGGGACTCGGAAGCACCGCTCTGCGCGACCCATCCCCTACCTTGCACTTGCCTCGTATCGAACCTCCCACCTGCCTCTGCAATTCTGCCTCGACGCATGCATGCTGTTGGTGTTGCCGCCTCAAATCGTCTCGCCTCACATGGGCTGTTCCGTCCTGCCTACCCACCCACCTGGTTGCTGCTTGCTATCACTGCGTGCCTGCTGCATCACTGCTTGCGTGCAGGTAACGTATTATCCGCTGCCACTGAAGGACTATGACAGCACGCTGCTCTCAACGGCCAACGGCACAATGGGCAACACCATGGTCAACTACAGCACCACCGTCAATGAGAAGAAGATCCCTCTCGTGTATGCCCCGCCGTTCTCCTCTCGCAGCACGCCACTCGCTGCACGCCACTCGCTGCATGCCACTCGCAGCATCTCACTCTCACCCACAGTAGGAGTGCCTACCCACCTTTTTTCCTTCCACATTTCACCTGCCCCCTCTTGCAACTCTCCTTTTTGTGACCTTTTCTTTTCTCCTCTTTCCACCAACGTGCACATCTCTTCCCCACCCCCACCAGCGTGTATCCGTACTACGTGAATCTCAAGCTGGGGTCGCAGAAGCAGGAGTTCAGCATGGCGATTAACCTCGTAATATCTTCTATGTTCGTGCCCTGCGACTGCCTGCACTGCGGCTCCATGCGCAAGGGGGTGCGTGGGGTTCCACCCTAAGCGCGGGGAGGGAATGAAAGTGGCGGCCTGGGGGTGCGAGGGTGAAATTAAGACACGATTGAGAGGGAGGTGATTGCGAGTGGGGGTGAGGTGAGAGGTAGTGAGTGACATTGTGTGGAGGGATGCAATCGTTGTGGTGAGAGTTACAGCCACGGCCCATAGCTCCTTCCTTAGCCCATTCTGCTTACACTACACCCCCCTTTTTCTGAAGCCTTTAGTTCCTGCTAAAGCCTTTAGTTTGCCTGTAGATTTCTCTCCCATTACCTTGTGACAACACACATGTGAATTATTCCTGTTCCCGTTACAATATCAAGTAAATCCTGCCTCTCGCCCCCCACCCTCCCCCGTACTCGCCCCATCCTCTTCAACCCTAGCCACAACGCCTTCAGGCCCCTCTCTGCTCCACTGCAGACTGACTACAGCAAGCCGTTCCCCTCTAGCCTCGTCTCACGTTCCCCTCCTTCCCCTCCCCTGGCTCTCTTTCCTCTCTCTCTTTCCCTCTCCCTCTCCCGCTCCCTCGCCCTGCAGACCACCTACAGCAAGCCCTTCAGCACGCTCGCCTCCACAACCCTCAAGTACATCTCCTGCGCCGACCAGCGCTGCATGGGGGGCACACAATACGGGTACTTCGGCTGCAACACGCAAGGGCTCTCCAACTACCTCGACACCACGGGCCTGCTGCCTGGGGACGACGCTCTCTGCGTGTTTGATGCAAAAGGAGATGTAGGCTATGATTACTACGAAGCTGACTATTATGAGGCGGGATCGAGAGTTCGGTCGGTGGGGCATGTGGTGGAGGACACTGTATACCTCACTGCACCTGATGGTACCGAAGTCAACCGATCCATCATTTTCGGGTGAGTCTCTCCTTGTCATGCCCATCCTCTCTCTCTCGTGGTTCCTCCCTCTACCCATTGGCGGTATCTCAAGTACTCACCTCCCCAATCATTCTGCCCCCTCACTGTCTTCCTCTCCACCGCCCCCCATTGCCTGCCCAGCTGTGGAGTGAACCAGCAGGGCTACTGGGGCATGCAGGGGTGGCAGTACGGCTCGTGGGCAGCAGGAGGCGTGCTGGGGCTGGGGCAGTATAGCCCCTTCCTCTGGCAGCTCACCGGCCCTAATGACCCAAGCACCTTGGCGCTGTGTTTGGAGAAGCCCACGCCCACGAACGAGACGGGGTGGGATGGCAAGGTGCCGCTGCAGACAGGCAGCAGCCATCTCACCATCGGAGCCACCGGCCTCCCTGCCGGCGCCAGCTACGCCACCATGTAATGATTCTGCTCCTTCTCCTCTCATGCCCTCTCGTGCTCTCACGGCCTCTTGTGCTTCATTTTACTCATCCACCCATATTCATTCATCCATCCATCCATCCATCCATCCATCCATCCATTCATCCATCCATCCATCCATCCATCCATCCATCCATTCATCCATCCATCCATCCATCCATCCATCCATCCATCCATCCATCCATCCATCCATCCATCCATCCATCCATCCATCCATCCATCCATCCATCCATCCATCCATCCATCCATCCATCCATCCATCCATCCACCCACCCACCCACCCACCCACCTCATGTCTGTTACACCCCTGTGCAATTCCTCCACCCAGGGATTCGTATAATGGTATGCAGTACAGCGAGATCACACTCACCTTGGGCACAGGCCCGGACGACTTCCGCTACATCACAGACGACTACACCAACCTATATCGAGACCCGGCCGACCCCATCACGCCAGGCTTCTTCTTCATGCCCGAGTCCTTCGTGCATCTCCTGCGCTACCCCCTCTTCATGAACCTTATCAACACGGTACGTTCCCCTCACCTCACCCTGTGCCTGTGCCTGCCTGCATGCCTGAGAGAGCCTGGCTGGACCAAGGCGTGTGAAGCCTGGCTCAGTTGCACCAATGGCCTGTTTGACCAGCCATTCATATGCTTCTGGCCTGCTTGATTTCTATGTGCACCCCACTTGCAAGAGGCATGTGTAGAGTTAACTCGCATGAGCCATAGCTACTTGGCTGAAACAAGAAATTCAGAGAATAAGTTGTGCAGTACTGGACTTGGTCTGTGCTCCTCAATTCATGAAAATCATTGTGACAGCAGTCTGGTTCTTCTCATAAGCAAGTGGCTTGGAAGTGGCCTGCGCCTTGCTTAGTGGCTTCATACGGAGTAATAGCAACATTGCCTTTTGATGTTACCTCCCACGCATGTGCAATGTGAATATGCATGTGCATGTGAATATGCATGTGCATGTGAATATGCATGTGCATGTGAATATGCATGTGCATGTGAATATGCATGTGCATGTGAATATGCATGTGCATCTTTGCAGCTCGTAGAGATGACAACATACCCTATTTCCCCTTTTATAGGGGAGTTTGGGTTTCAGCTCCCATGTGTTGAGTGAGTTTCTAAGCCCTACTTATACCTAATCATTCAGTTAAGAGTGCATCTTTTCACTATTGTCAATCATTCACAATGCCACCTCCGTCCATGCAAGCAAACCAGCTATTTGCTCCCCTCCTGATGGTCCTTACTAGTCCTTGCTTTGTATGGAACCTGGGAGGACATGGTACAATCGCAATGCACCATGAGCGTGAGCCATACTGATCCTCACATCACGCTAATAGGTGCTGAGTGCATCACCTGCTGCAACCCAACCCATGCCATGTCAGGTGAGCCACGTTAATGCCATGTGCAAATCCTCAGCCGGGGAAAGGTAGGAGCTTTTGCTCAAGAAAGCAGCGTTGTCGTCAATGTTAATGAGGCAACCCCAATACTGACCAACGAATCACCTATTTAACCCAACCTTCTCTGGCTAGGTCAGTCATCTGCCCCCTTGTCTCTCTGTGTTCCTCCCTCCCACCACAATGATACCCAATCTGCAGTATTAACACCGGGGACACCACCATCCCAGCGGATCCTTTCACGGACTTCCCCACCATCGACATTGCTTTCATCTCGCCTGATAACACCACCTCTCACTTTTATCTCAAGCCTCACGAGTACATCGCAAAGGTCAGTGACTCATTTAGAGGTTCACCTCACCTCATCTGTTCTCGTCTCATCTCATCTCATCTCATCTCATCTCATCTCATCTCATCTCATCTCATCTCATCTCATCTCATCTCATCTCATCTCATCTCATCTCATCTCATCTCATCTCACCTCACCTCACCTCACCTCACCTCACCTCACCTCACCTCACCTCACCTCACCTCACCTCACCTCACCTCACCTCACCTCACCTCACCTCACCTCACCTCACCTCACCTCACCTCACCTCACCTCACCTCACCTCACCTCACCTCACCTCACCTCATCTCATTGCACTACCTCACCCTGCTAAATCAAGACCAATCAGAGACGTTTCAATCACCAGCCTCAATTCCACCTGTCATTATCTTGAGAATTCTCAAAAGTGACATTCAAAAGGATGCCAAAGTTGGAAGAATTTGGAGTCCTTGTCTCATCCTTGTCTCATCCTTGTCTCATCCTTGTCTCAGCTACCACCAGCTCTCTCTAGGTCAAGGACCACCATGCCATGCGCAACTTTAGCGTGTGACTCAAACCTTTGAAAATATGCCGTGTAACCCAGCCTCACGTTCCATCGAACTCTGGGCATATATGCAGAGAGGAGTGGGCTGAGCTGGGCTGGCCATGCGGCATGTTGCTTGACCCCTTTCACGTCTCTCCTGTGATCCCCGTCGCACCTTCACACCCACTTCTCAACTTCCTTTTCTCCACCTACTCCACCCCTGCCCTTCTCATGCCTTCTCAGCCCACTTGACTGAGTCTCGTGTCAGGGCCTCCGAGTCACTGAGTGGCTCACTCGTCAAGGCTGTTCCCCAATCCCATGCGCCTAACACAGGTTTCAGCTTCTTTGTACTGCATCTTGGCTACGCCTCTTCGTGCTGAATCTTCCTATCAGAGCTTCATCGGAGGTGCGACGGTTATGCACATTTGCTCTCCTTTCTCTACAGGCCTCATGCCAGCTCCCTACTTTCCCCTTTCTTCACCAAACTACCTGAGCTGTGCTGTGCTGGTCATCCTCTGCCATCATGCCATCCATCACCACCACCCGCTCCTCACAACGCGCCTACAATCTGCTTACCATCCGTCTGCCAGCAGATGCCATATCAATATGATGGTTTAGTTGAGCAAGCATGGATTGTTGCACTGAATAATACCGTTGAGGATGCTAAGAAGTCAAACCCGCACGCTGGCGTTTCGAGCAAACCTGATTCGCCATTCCGAATGTGATTGTCTTTATCCTGGAGCCCACAAAGCGAGAGGCCAGATGGGCTCCAATATTACCGCTAAACCCTAAGCCCTGCCCTTCCCACTTCCCTGCTGCCAACCCCACACTTGTCTCTCTGCCACCCGCTGTGGACGCATGTGGCGGCGCTGAGCAGAGCCGGGGCTGGTCGGCAAGCACCTGTTTCTCGACTACAGCTATTCGACTGCAGGATGGATGAATACCCCTCACTGTAAGCTGCTGCTCACCCTGCGCCCAACGCCTGCCTTCCCTTCTCTCTCCCCAGCACATGCGATCGTGATTGCCCCTAAAGTCTTGGCATATTAGTTTAAGCTCCTTCCTGCGGATTAACTCTGTCCTGCACCCTGTTACTGCAATCGATGTGGTCTGTTAGCAACTGATATTGCACTCCCACTACAGACACACCAAGTGTTACTGTCTCCACCATTAAGTCATAACCATTGTCTGCAACCACCACTGGCTCCTTTCAACCAACTTTCGATGTTCTTTTGATGTGTGCTTCCTGCTCTCTTCCTCCTCACTCGCCTCATCACCCAACACTTCACTCGTCTCTTCCCCCCTCTCTCCTCCCCTCTCCTCTCCTCCCCTCTCCTCTCCTCTCCACTCTTCCCCTCCCTTCCCTTCCCCCTCATCTCTACAGGTGGAGCTGAGCCTCTGCTGCCGCCACCCTCCCCTCCTCCACCATCACCTCCCTCGCCTGTTTCCAAAGCGGCCGCTCAATCCCTCTCCCCAGTGCCAGCAGCACTCTCAGCTGCCCTTGTCCTTGCCACCTCTGCCGCTCTCCTTGCTCTCACTCTCCTGTAGAGCCTGAATCTTCTTGCTCGCTCCTGGCTAGCTCGTGGGAGTGTATCTTATCATGTGATGTGTTAATACATGGTATGATCCTTAACCGTATGGGCATATCGTGATAGTCAGGAGTGCGTATGTTCTATATGAGCCCATGCGCTACTGTCATAGCTTCATAAATGTTTGAAGAACTGGGTAAGCATTTTCAGGCTATATGTTTAGAGTATGTGCAACGACACGGTCGATTATTTTTTTTTTTTTTTCAGATTTGGGCTCCAAAACAGATGAAACATGCCTGTAGCTCAACAAGATAAGGAGAATGTCAGAAGATTGGCATGAGGGATCCCATTTGATCGACGGAAGGGATGTACTGATCCGCAACTTGAATATTTAGCCCCTCTATCCTAACGATCTAGGTGGCTAGGATTATGATATGTCATAAAAGCGAAAGTTATTGGGTTCAAATCCCCATGTGTGCAATGCAAAAGCTGCCTAAGGGGTGGTCAGCATCATATCATATGGCATCCCTCACTGTGATGATATCAAAAGACCAACATTGGGGATCCTAGATTGATCCCAGGGAAGGGTTACAGGCATGTTAGCCTTGGGGATCATGAGCTCACTGATCCGTCGCTGAAATACCGTAAACCCTTGGATATAAAGATCAAGGATTACACTAAGTTTGAGTACAGTCACTAGCTTACTGAAGCAACATATACAATTTACTGAGTACCGACTGTATTTGCCAACTGTTTTGGACAACGCACCGACTGACACCCGCCAATTTCAACAGGCCGTCGTCAGCTGCTGGCCAGGGAGGGATGGCACGGTTCGGAACAGCACACGGTCAATGTTCAGTTGAACAAGCCCTAAACTCAGGGGATGACTAGACTGACGCGTCAGCACATTTTCCTTATGCTTTCTGAACCACTCTTAACCGTTGGAAATAACTTTTCTACCACACATTTTTCCCTTTGTCTTGTTTTCGTGCCACACGCTGAAGGCCAGATCGATCCCCGTCATCATCACAGCAAGGTGCTGATTCGCCAAATAAATATCCCACGCGCGTGTGGTGGTGACATCGCGCCCCGGTGCCCGCGAGTTGAAATTTCAGTGAGTTGGGTGGGGTGGGGTGAGGTAGTGGCGGATAGGCAAGGCGGTTTTACGCAAAATAGCTTTCACCATCCCACCATTCTCATCATAGCTGCGGAGCTTTTGTGACGGTCGCACAACATAAACCTTTCCCCGTGACTCCTACCATGGCTTTTTCGTGGCGTGACGCCTCTCCGCGTCTGTTCGTGTCACTTCTTCTCCTCTACCTCGGCGTCTTGCATATCCACGCGCGCCACGGCCCCGAGACGGTCGTTGCGGACGCTGATTCCCGCAGTAGATTTCCCAGAGATGCCTCACATTTCCACCAGCGATTCGACTCGCAATCACCCGAGGTACAAACAAGATCGCACGAGTCGCAAACGAGGCGATGCCGACAGCATAGCTGGGCAAATGTTCATGGTAGTAGTAGTTGTTGTAGTATACATTTACACAGTCGTATGATGACTCACGTCCTGTGCCATATGATGCGGCGCAACATGCCGAAAGATTTAAAGCATGGCCCACATTCATGAACAAACGGCGAGAGCAATCTTTGCGGTGACCGCAAACGGCCAGTTTGAGCGAAATATGCTTTCTGGTTATTCGATACAAATTCGCAGGCGTCGATTGCGGAGTGGAAGCGGCGATCAGCGAAAGCGGACGCGCACTTCTTCCCCCTGCAGCGCGCGGAAGACGCCCCCAGCAGAGAGGAGATACACAGACGGATTCTCGGTCCTTCCGTGAGTGCGGGGAGGGGAGTGGAGACTGTTGGGAGCACAGCCGCGTTGCTGCTTTGACCTGTCCATGTCGATACGCCTCCCTCTAATACGCTGCACTGCGTGACACACGAGGAGACAGTACCACACGAGATGCCATGCACAAGCGCCGTTGCATGGCATGGCATTGGCGTAGACAGCTTTTAGAAAAGTTCTATTAACCGCTACCAGTTGACATCAAAGGGTGTGTTTTTTTACGATTGACATGCGCCCACGTGAGTCTCCTCGATCATGGCTTGCTTGCTGCTTCCGCCTTCCCTCCCACAATCCGTGACATGCGCAGGGCGTGGGCGGCGGCTTGAAGGACAAAGTAGAGTCAGGCACAGTATCGACCGTGAGTGGACGACCCTTCCCCTGCTGCTATTCTAGCAGACTGGCTGTGTGGTCTCAGGCAGTCGGTCGTGGAATGGTGGCACTTGGCAGGTGGCTAGTGGCAGGTGGCTAGTGACAGGTGGCTAGTGGCAGGCGGCAGTTAACACTTGACCATGCTGCGTTCTGAGAAGATGAGTTTGTTACACGAAACACAAGAGCTCTGTGGTTTCGCGTAACAAACTCATCTTCTGAGTTACTACTTGCCTTTCCAACTACTACTACTACTGCCCATCAACCAGGCATTACTACTTGCCTTTCCAACTACTACTACTACTGCCCATCAACCAGGCATTACTACTTGCCTTTCCAACTACTACTACTACTACTGCCCATCAACCAGGCATTACTACTTGCCTTTCCAACTACTACTACTACTACTGCCCATCAACCAGGCATTACTACTTGCCTTTCCAACTACTACTACTACTACTGCCCATCAACCAGGCATTACTACTTGCCTTTCCAACTACTACTACTACTGCTGCCTCGTGGTATCGAGCTGTTGGCGATTTGTAACCCTTAGTCCATCTGCCTCTGCCGCCTCAAGTCTCTCTGTCCCGATCGATTCCGCGTCCAGCTGTGTTTGGATCGTGTGTTTGTTTCCCACCTCGTTGCGTGCAGTTGCGTGCAGGCAAGGGCGGTATCCTTTGCCATTGTTTCTGAGGCACCGCCCCAGAACGCGTCTCATCTCACATGGACTGGGTGGGCTGTCTGTCGTACCTGCTTGCGTGCGTGCAGGACAGGGGGTATCCTCTGCCGCTATTGGAGTATGACACCACGCTGCTCGCCAACGCCAGCGGCATAATGGGCAACACCATGGTCAACTACAGCACCTTCCTAGATGACAACACGATCCGCCTCCCGTATGCTCCAACGTGCCCCACTCGCTGCACGCCTCTTGCTGCACGCCACTCGCTGCATCTCTTCAGCCTCCCTCCTCTGACACATTTCTGCACTTCCTCCCCCACCCCCCCTCCCCCACCCACCGTCGCATGCCTGTCCCCACCAGCGTGTATCCGTACTACGTGAATCTCAAGCTGGGGTCGCAGAAGCAGCAGTTCAGCATGGCGCTCGACCTCCTCTTGCCATTCACCTTCGTGCCCTGCGACTGCCTGCACTGCGGCTCCGCTCGCTTGGGGGTGCGAGGGGTTCCGCCTTCCTCCCACCCGCACAAACCCATGGGGACGTGCAAGGGCGAAAAGAGGGTGGCGGACTGGGGGTGGGGGAGTGAGAGCGAGAGGGAGATTGAAGAAGCGAGAATGCGAGTGAGCTTGAGAGTCAGAGTGAGAGGGAGTGAGTGTGAGAAGTGGATTGCGACATTGTGTGAAGAGTTCGCAATCTAGTCACATCCATTACCCTACCCTCACCTGGTTCCCCTCCTTCCCCTCCCCTGGCCCCTCTCCCTCTCTTCTCCCTCTCCTCTCCCTCTCCTCTTCCTCTCCTTCGTCTCCTCCCTCGCCCCGCAGACTGCCTCCAGCAAGCCCTTCAGCACGCTCGCCTCCACAACCCTCAAGTACATCTCCTGCGCCGACCAGCGCTGCATGGGGGGCACACAATACGGTTACTACGGCTGCAACACGGAAGGCCTCTCCAACTACCTCAACACCACGGACATGCTGCCAGGGGACGACGCTCTCTGCGTGTACAATGCCGATGCATCAAACTACGACTACTATGAAGCTGACTATTGGGGGTCGTACATTCAATCAGTGGGGCATGTGGTGGAGGACACCGTCTACCTCACTGCACCTGATGGTACCGAAGTCAACCGATCCATCGTTCTTGGGTGAGATTCTGCTTGTCATTGCCCTTCCCCTTTCCCATACTTCCTTCCTCAGATCCTCTCTCTCTTTCACGATATATCATATACTCACCTCCCCATCCGTTCCCTCGCTCTCCCTCTCTCCACCGCCCCCCATTGCCTGCCCAGCTGTGGAGTGAACCAGACGGGCTACTGGGGCATGCAGGGGTGGCAGTACGGCTCGTGGGCAGCAGGAGGCGTGCTGGGGCTGGGGTGGAACAGCCCCTTCCTGCAGCAGCTCACCTCCATTAAGGAACCGACCTCTTTTGCGCTGTGTTTGGAGGAGCCGACGCCGACGAACAAGACGGGGTGGGATGGCAAGGTGCCGCTGCAGACAGGCAGCAGCCATCTCACCATCGGAGCTGAAGACCTCCCTGCCGGATCCAGCTTCGCCAACATGTAACCCCCCCTGCACTGCACTGCACCGCACCGCACCGCACTGCATTGCACTGCATCGCACTGCACTGCACCGCACTGCACTGCACCGCAACGTATTGCACCGCACTGCACTGCACTGCACCGCACTGCACCGCACTGCACTGCACCGCACTGCACTGCACTGCTCTGCACTGCACTGCACTGCACTGCACTGCACTGCACTGCTCTGCACTGCACTGCAGTGCACTCCATTGCTCTGCTCTACATTGCTCTGCTCTGCACCTGCACCACGCGCTCCCACGCTCCCAAACCTTCCCTTGCTCCATCCATCCATCCACCCACCCACCCACCCACCCACCCACCCACCCACCCACCCACCCACCCACCCACCCACCCACCCACCCACCCACCCACCCACCCACCCACCCACCCACCCACCCACCCACCCACCCACCCACCCACCCACCCACCCACCCACCCACCTACTGCATTGCACCGCACCGCACCGCACTGCACTGCACCGCAATTCACTGCACTGCACTGCTCTGCACTGCACTGCACCGCATTGCACTGCACTGCTTTGCGCTGCACTTCGCTGCACTGCACTGCATTGCTCTGCTCTGCACCTGCACCACGCGATCCCACGCTCCCAAACCTTCTCTTGCTCCATCCATCCATCCATCCATCCATCCATCCATCCATCCATCCATCCATCCATCCATCCATCCATCCATCCATCCATCCATCCATCCATCCATCCATCCATCCATCCATCCATCCACCCACCCACCCACCCGCCCAAGTAACCACTGACTCGCCCATCCCATGCGCTTAACCTGTGTGCAATCCTTCCCTCCAGGGTTTACCTGGCCGGTCTGCAGTACAGCCACATCACACTCACCACACCCAAGCGCTCCCTCGAAATCAAGGACGACCCCGCCTACGTACACAACACCGAAACCGCCTACTTGCCCTCGGGCTTCCCCCAAAACGCCACGCCAGGCTTCTTCTTCATGCCCGAGTCCTTCGTGCATCTCCTGCGCTACCCCCTCTTCATGAGCCTTGTCGACGGGGTACGTGTGCGCCTCTCCCCTCACCCTGTGCCTGCCTGCCTGCCTGCCTGCCTGCCTGTCTGCCTGCCTGCCTGCCTGCCTGCCTGCCTGCCTGCCTGCCTGCCTGCCTGCCTGCCTGCCTGCCTGCCTGCCTGTCGAAGCGCCCGGCTGTCCCAACACATGTGAAGGCTGGCCAAGCGGAACCAGTGAGTGGAGGGTGCTGGCATCACCCCACGTACTGCTTGTATACTTTCTGGCTTAGTGGGTTCAGACTGTAGTGCAACAGGGATTGCTGAAAAGGCTTGTTTCCTTCTAATCTCGTCCAGTGCCTGGTACTTCATGCACTCTCCTACGCATGTGGATGCGCATGTGCTTGATCGTGTGCGTGTGCGTGTGCGTGTGCATGAGTATGCGCATGTGCGTGTGCATGTGCATGTGCATGTGCATGTGCGTGTGCATGTGCGTGTGCGTGTGCATGTGTGTGTGCATGAGTATGCGCATGTGCGTGTGCTTGTGCATGTGCATGTGCATGTGCATGTGCATGTGCGTGTGCATTTGCATTTCCATGAGCATGTGCTTGTGCATTTGCATGTGCATGTGCATGTGCATGTGCATGTGTATGTGCATGTTTGCAGCTCAAAGTGATGACAGGCCACAATATCTCTTCAGGGAAAAACGATTTTTACCGGCTTCCATGCTTCACGTGAGTTTATATTCTTTATTTCCATCCACCCATTGAGTTGTGTTGTGAGTTAACCTTTCCAGTCATGTCAGTCCTCCCAAGTGCGAGCCACCACTGTGCAAAATGCATCCCAGCTTTCTACTCCCCCTCAAATGCTTCTCAATTAGAGTAGAGCCGAGCCAGTAGGAAGAACAACACATCCGTAGATACGCTAGGCGACTTCTGAGTCGACTCAAAGGTCGCCTCTCCAAAACTCTCAAGAAGCGCCTGACGTGAGCTTCGTCTCGTTGCAATAGGGTCTGATGTGTCTGTGTTGGGATGTTCCACGTCGGCTCACCCACGCTTGTCCATTTTCTATGTGTGTACCCCGTTCTCTAGTGACCGCCTTCTAATCTAACCCAGGACAAGCCAAGACAGTGGTTTGGAACACAATATAGTCCCCCCTCCTTGTCTCCATTTCCCCCCCACCCACTCGCACAACAATGCCCCACTTGCAGCAACAAGAACAAGGCGGAGGATCCGTTCACCACCTTCCCCACCATCGACATTGCTTTCTTCAGCCCCGACACAAACAGCGACACCTCCCACTTCTATCTCAAGCCGCGCGAGTACCTCGCCCAGGTATAGAAAAAAAAGCATGCTGTGGTGCACAAGGGCTCAACTCATTGCACTCTCATCCTCGTGCTCACTTCAAATTATTGTAGTACGGAAACGTTTCATCAGCTGCCTCGTTTCCCATTTTGGTCAATTCGTTGAAACTGATGCCACAGTAGGAGGAGCATTGAGGCCATGTTTCGGGTCCCGTCCATGTGCTCTCCCCTCTCCTCGCCCCTCTCCTCTCCCCTCTCCTCTTCCCTCTCCCTGCCCTCTCCTCACCCCTCTCCCTGCCCTCTCCTCTCTACTCTCCTTCCTCTTCTCCTCTATCTCCTCTCTCCTATCTTCCATCCTTCCCCCGGACTCATCTAAGTCATTGTAGCCCTCTATGGCCCAAGTCTCGTTCTCAGAGCCTCTGGCAAATGCCATATCCCTGAATCTGCATCTTCTGTCATCCTGAGCCACCAATTTGCCGAGTGGTTGTTGCTTGGGCAATCACAAGACAAACCCCATGTTCCACTCGTCAATGCTCTTCCCCAATCCCATGCGCCCCCAATCCCATGCGCTCAATCCTCCTTGACAGGTTTCGGCTTCTGAGTACTGCATCTTGGCCACCTATACTCCTTCCGACAGTAACTACGCCAGCCTCATTGGAGGTACGCGCGTTACCTATCACACCTTGCACTCCTTTCTCTACCGGAGTTTCTGCCAGCTCCCGTCCTTATCTTGTCCCCACCGACCTATAACTGTGATGTGCTGGCCATCCTCTGCCTGCCATCCAACACCCACTCCTCACAACCACCTACCAACCGTCTACCACCGCCTATCTCCTAATGCAAGCTGGGCAAGCATGGATCGCTGTCCTTAATGTGATCTTTTAGTGTTTTCAGAAGTAAACCCTGCTCGCTATTGTAGTGGCCACGGTTGAGTGTGGTGAATGCGGCTGTCTTTATCCTGGAGCCCAACGCCGGATGGGCCTTGAAATTACCGTTGCCCATTACCGCTTCCGTTTTCACTTCCCTACACTACACCGCACTCTTGTCCCGCTGCCCTCCACTGCTGTGGGTGCATGTGACGCTGAGCAGAGCCGGGACTGTTCGGCAAGTATTTCTATTTCGAGTACACCAACGGGATTGCAGGATGGATGGACTCCCCTCACTGTAAGCCGCCTCTCACCCTGTCCGCATGCCTGACACTGCCTCCAGGATGGATTGCCCCTTCTTCTATCTCTCCAGTACACACACCCGTCCCTTCTTTGTCTTTCGTACTTGGGTCTTTTGAATTTCTCAGCACTCCTTGCTGCCTGCTGGCAATCTTCTGTCCCCCGTCTGTTCCAAGGAGGGCAAATCCTTCACTTGCAACAGGGACACACCGAGTTTTTCTGTCCGCGCAATAGAACAGTACCCACATTCCTTTTAGCTACACGCCACCACCTCTCCTTTCAGCCCACTCCTGTCGTGTGCTTCTTTCTCTATTTCGCCTTCACTCATCTCACACCCCTTTCTAACACTTTGCTGCTCTGCTCTCCCCATTCCTCTCCTCTGCTCTCCTCTCCTCTCCCCTCCCATTCCCTTCTCTCCTCTCCTCTCCCCTCTTCTCTTCTCCTTTCCTTTCCTCTCCTCTCCTCTCCTCTCCTTTCCTCTCCTCTCCCCTCCTTTCCACGCCTCCCCTCGCTTTCCTGCCCCCTCACCTCAACAGGTGGAGCGGAGCCTCTGCTGCCGCCACCCTCCCCTCCTCCGCCAGCTTCGCCGGTCTCCAAGGGGGCCACCCACTCCCTCTCCCCAGTCCCCGCAGCATTATCGGCTGCCCTTGTCCTTGCCACCTCTGCCACTCTGCTTGCTCTCAGTCTCCTGTAGAGCCTTAGTTTTTCTGGATCACTTGGGCCTGGATCTTGCGTCAGGTCAGGAGTACTCACACGTGCCTGCTCCTGTGCTGCTGTCAGCTTGTGGGAGTGTATCAGGAGTGCTATATTTCGTATCTAGATATTAGTTGGATGTACCGCTATGTTTAGCTGCCAGTATGTTGTATTCTTGGCTAAATCATGTTTTTGTGAAAAGGGCTAGTACCGTACCAAAATGTCACGTGTATATTGATATATTTATATATATGGAAATTCGATAGATGTACCTGTTTTCTTACTAACTGCCTGTGGCATTGCCCCGTGCAGCTCCTATATTATACTCCTTGTAGGAGTTGCACACTTCCTTGTAGGAGCTGCACACTTTCTTAGCTCTCGCTCCCAAAACACCTGAAAATTCTATTTCGTAACGAATAACCATCAAGAACGCGTATTGCAGTAACTTGTGCATCTGGAAGCTGAGGGCGCGATTCGGAACATATCAAACCTAGGTACGGCAACTCCTTGAACAGTACCCGATTGGGCAGTCTGTCTGTGAGGATGGTATGATTGGCTGGGTTTGTAAGTAGAGCCGAATCTGTTGTGGTCTGGACCTTTCCAAACCAAACCCAGAACCGAATCTGGCTCGGCGGGAATTGCTGTGGTTATCACAAGGCTAATCCATCACAGATTCACAGACCGCCTGATACATCACTGTCTGGCCCCCAAACGTCGCATTTCGCCGTGCTGTATCGCACCGCGCCCATCAAGACCACTAAATGCACCGGCTAAATACTTCGGACCAAACCACCACCTGCCGCTTGCGAGGCGATGTTCGGCAGCACACGGGATGAAGCGAGTGATTCTTGCGGCATCTGTGAGTGGCAGTGTCGGCTTCACGGCCAGACCTAGTGAAAGCTTTCTTTCCAGAGCCTTCTACTCAGAGTGGACCCAGCATCCTTCCACCACTCCCCCGGTAATTCCATCATTTTTCTCTCATCGCGTTGCAGCCCGTGGCTGCGGAGTTTCTTTGACGCTCGCACAACATAAACCTCTCCCCGTGGCTACTACTACCATGGCTCTTTCGTGGCGTGGCGCCTCTCCGCGTCTGCTCGTGTCGTTGCTGCTCCTCTCCCTCAACGCCTTGCGGATGCACGCGCGACACGGCCCCGAGATTGGCGCTGCGGGCGCTCATTCGCGCAGAAGCATTCGCGGAAATTCCGCGAATTCCCACGAGCAATTCGACATTCAATCACCCGAGGTACACACCCGAGTCGCAGCCTGTGTTAGTAGCATTGCTGGACACAGTCGCGTGACATGTAACCGCGCTACGAGCGCGTGCATCAGTACGTCACATCGTGACTCACATCCTGGGACGCCGCATGACGTTGCGCTAGATGTTCGTTTACCACTTGCATGGCTCGCATTCATGAACAAACGGCGCGAGCAATCTTGGGACGACAAAACAGCCTGTTTGATAATAATTATTTACAACTATTTAGTAAGGTTTATCAGTAGCATCGCCTCTAATCGATCTCGCCAGGCTTCAACCATTGCGATGGCCCGTCCGGTTTCTGCGCACATACCAATTACTCTTCGTGTAGTTCTCAACCACCCCGCTCCCTGCTCTATCCCCCCCTCCCCTCGCTCTCACGGCGAGTCATCGCAGGTCGGAGCATCCGGAGGCCGCCAGCACGATCCATCAGCCGCCAGCGACGGCGGAGGGGCGGCCAGCGCGGGGAGCAATGGCGGCGCGGAGTCGATTGCGGAGTGGAAGCGGCGATCAGCGGAAGCGGGCGCGCACTTCTTCCCCCTGCAGCGCGCGGAAGACGCCCCCAGCAGGGACGAGCTGCACCGCCGCATTCTCGCGCCGAAAGTGAGTGCGGTGCGGGGGTCACCACTAGGAGTGGAGATGCCAGGAGCAGCGCGTTGATGCTTGACCCTCCTGTCCATGCCGATTTCACGATATCACAAAGCGTTGCCTCTCTCTTTGGCTGGGGAAAGTGGTAAGAGACAATAATAACCAGAATGCTATAATTACTCAATGACGTGACTTTGCTACTTCGCTACTTGGCTGCACTGTGTTGTTGCGACTGACGTGCGCGCCCATATTCGTCTCCTCATCATGGCCTCATGCTCCCCCCACGATCCGTGACATGCGCAGGGCATAGGCGGCGGCTTGAAGAACAAAGGAGATTCACCCAAGTCATCGGAGGTGAGTGCGCATTCACGAAACGAATGCCGCTACTACCATAGCACACTAGTTGTAGGATGGTCTCAGGCAGTCGCTCCTGCCTCAGTGTCAGGTGGCTGGCAGAGCAGGGGGCAGGCGACGCGACATTTCACCATGCTGCCTGCCATTCTTCCATACTAGCCTTGCTTCTCAGGTCGTTTCTTGCTGTCAAACAAGCATCCCGCCTGCCTCTGCCTCTTGAAGTCTGTCTTTCTGTTGCACACGTTCCCACCTACCTTGTTGCGTGCAGAAGAAGGGGTTTCCGCTGCCGCTGCTGGACTACGACAGCACGCTGCTCTCAACGGCCAACGGCACAATGGGCAACACCATGGTCAACTACAGCACCTACCTCGATGACAACCAGATCCGCCTCCCGTATGCCTTCGTACCGTGTCCCTCTCACTGCATCTCACTCGCTGCATCTCACTCGCTGCACGCCACTCGCTGCATGCATATGTGCTGCGCATCCCATCCACCTGCCCGCCTTCTACCAGAATCTCCCATGCGAGCGCTTTGTGCACATGCTTGCACTTCCCCTTCCCCTCCTGCACGCCACTGGCTGTCTTGCCTTCTGACGACAGAGTCTAATAGATGGCTGCCGAGCGACACATGCCAGCGCCTTTTCTCCCTCCTTTCCTCCCTCCCTCCCATGCGCGGGGTTTTGAAACCCACTCCACCCATGTCCGTCGCCCACCCCATCTCGCCGCCCACAGCAACTCCCTCATTCCTCCCCCGGGCGCCCACTCCCCTGCGACCTTGCTCCCCTTTCTCCCCTCCTTCCCCCGCGTCTTCTCTCCCTCCTTTCCTCCCTCCCCCTTTTCTTCCCTTTCCCCTCCCGCCCCCCTTCCACCAACGTGCACACCTCCCCCCCCCCAACACCAGCGTGTATCCGTACTACGTGAATCTCAAGCTGGGGTCGCAGAAGCAGGAGTTCAGCATGGCTCTCAACCTCGCCTCGCCATTCACCTTTGTGCCCTGCGACTGCCTGCACTGCGGCACCTCTCGCATGGGGGTGCGTGGGGTTTTGCCAATCACGCAAAGGGGGGGGAGTGCGAGGGGAAGGAGAGGGTGGTGGGCTGCGACTGGGAGAGGGAGGGTGAAACTGAGTGAGTGAGAACGAGAGTGAGTGAAAGTGAGGGTGAGAGTTAGTGAGCGTCAGGGTGCGAGGGTGTGAGAGGGTGTTTGAGGGTGTGTGCGGGTGTGCTCCGCTCCGTCCGTCTCCCTTTCTTGTCCTTTGGAACCTCACTTCTCCCTCTCTTGTCGATTGGATCCCCCCTTCACCCTCTCTTGTCGTTTGGAACCCCCTTCACCCTCTCTTGTCGTTTGGAACCCCCCTTTTCCCTCTCTTGTCTTTTGGAACCTCGCTTCTCCCTTCCCGCACTTGCCTTGCCACTTGTTCCCCCCCGTCTCCCCCTTGCTCTCATCTTCCTCGTTGGGTTGAGGTCCATGCATGGCCATAATCCCACCCTCTTCTTTTCTCCATTCTCTGTAAGCCCCCACCAAGGCATTCATTTCCTGCATTGCCTTGGGTGGAGTTCATTTAACCTGCTCAAGCCACATGACTCCATCCTTAACTTTCACTCCCATTGCCCTGCGATGACACATGCAAGAATGATGAATCCAGTCCCGATCAATCCAATTCTGCTTCTATCCTCACTTCCCCAAAACCTTCCCATCCCCACCCATCTCCCCGTGCCCCCAACTCCACCCCCCAACGACTCCTTCACTCGCCCTCACCCCCCAGACCTCACCCCCACGACAAGCAAGCCCTTCAGCACGCTCGCCTCCACAACGCTGGAGTACATCTCCTGCGCCGACCAGCGCTGCATGGACGGCACCGGATACTACGGCTGCAACACGGATGGGCTGAACAACTTCCTCAACGTCACGGGCTACCTGCCTGGGGACGACGCTCTCTGTGTGTTTGATGCTTACGCAGAGCCCTACGATTACTACGAAGCAGACTATGATTCGGGATGGTACTCTGAGTCGGTGGGGCACGTGGTGCAGGACACGGTGTACCTCACTGCACCTGATGGTACCGAAGCCAACCGATCCATGATTCTAGGGTGAGACTTCATGCCGTTTGCACGCTCTCTCCCATGATTCTTGTCTCCTGTGGATCCTCTCTTTTAAAAATTCTCAGCATAGCTTTGCACGCTCTCTCCCGTGGTTCGTCTCGCACCCTCTCACATGCTTCTTCTCTCACTCTCTCCCATGGTTCTTCTCTCCCGTCCATGGTGCTGTAGTTGACCATGGTGTCTTCTCTCATTATCTCCCGTGATTCTTCTCTCCGGTCCAACCTCCTGATCGGATCCTCACCCCTTCCCTTGGACTGCCTCTCACTCACTCTCCTGCTCACTGTGCGCTTTCTCCCATCGCCCCCCCAGCTGTGGAGTGAACCAGACGGGCCAGTGGGGCATGCAGGGGTGGCAGTATGGCTCGTGGTCAGCAGGAGGCGTGCTGGGGCTGGGGTTGGATAGTCCTTTTCTTGCGCAGCTCACCTCAAGCACTAGCTCTTTCGCCATATGTTTGGAGGAGCCGACGCCGACGAACAAGACGGGGTGGGATGGCAAGGTGCCGCTGCAGACAGGCAGCAGCCATCTCACCATCGGAGCCACCGGCCTCCCTGCCGGCGCCAACTACGCCACCATGTAATTCCACCTTGATAGCCCTGCACCTTCTCCATTCCCCCCCTTGCTCTCTTTCTCTCCCTGATGGCGCCAGCTACGCCAACGTGTAAACCCCTTGTTACTCCACTCCCTCGCATGCTCTCACGCTTCAAACTCGCTGCCGGAACTCATAGATGGCTTCTGCCTTGTCTCCTATCCATCTATCCATCCACCCACTTACCCACCCATCCACCACCCGTCCATCCAACCATCCACCCACCCACCCACCCATCCATCCATCCTCCCATCCACCTCTCGCCCTCTTCCCCTATGCAAACCCTCCACCAGGCTATACCCGACCGGAATGCAGTACAGTCACATCACACTCACCACGGCCAAGCGCGCAGTCAACATCTCAGACGACCCATCCAACGTAGACGGGGACTCAGCCTTCCTGCCTCCGGGGGCCACTGCTGACACCACTCCGGGCTTCGTCTTCATGCCCGAGTCCTTCGTGCACATGCTGCGCTACCCTCTCTTCCTCAGCCTCTACTACGCTGTATGTTCTCTTTCCCGCAACCTTAGCCTTCGGACTTAGTGGCTTGACAATTCACAGCTTGAATCAAGGCCTGCCGAGATTGCATGCTACTGCAAGTCCGGTTTCCCCTCGAGTTCCTAATGTGCTTCTATATAAACGCATCTTGCTCTGATTGTGCCCGCCTGTTCATGTGCACGTGCATGTGAATTTGCATGTGTGTGCATGTGCATGTATTTGTGCATGTGTGTGCGTATGTGCATATGTGTGGATGTGTGTTTGCATGTGCATGTGCATGTGTTTGCATGTGCATGTGCATGTGTTTGCATGTGCATGTGCATGTGTTTGCATGTGCATGTTTTCAGCTCCAAGACCTGACAGGGCAAACATTCACTATTAACGTAGACAACAATCATATGTTCCGGCTTTTGTGTTTTGTGTGAGTTGTCAAGTCTTACCTCTCCATGCTTCCTTCAACCGCAAATCCCCCTCAATCCGTAGCATTGCGCTCTTGTCCATCCTGCTTGTTGTTTGTAGGTTCTAAAGCCTTGCCTTATGATGCGCTCATTCATCCCAAATCCTATCAAATCATGTCAATCCGTGGTATGGCTCTCATGTCCATCGTTCCAAGTGCTACACACAACGCAACCCCAGCTCCCTGCTCTCTCTCTCTCTCTCGAGCAGATAGTCCAAGAGCGAACGGTAGTGGAAGTGAGGGGTGCGGGCAGAGGGAGGGTAGGAGGGGGAAATGGTCAAGAATCATTTCCGCCACAGCGCCGAAGCAAGTTTCCTAGTCATACACCTCCTTTTCTAGTGACCGTTGTCTCAAGCAGGAGCAGTTCCTTGTACTTAACCAGTATATTCACCTCTTTGTCTCTCGTTTCCCCCTCACTCGCATAACTGTGCCCCCCTTGCAGCAACAAGAACAAGGCGGAGGATCCGTTCACCACCTTCCCCACCATCGACATTGCTTTCTTCAGTCCAAACAGCACCAATGCCACCTCCCACTTCTATCTCAAGCCTCGCGAGTACCTCGCCCAGGTCAGCGTCCCCCTCCCCTTCCCCCTCCCTCCCCTCCCCCTCCCACCCCCTCCCCATCCCCCTCCCGCTCCCATGCCCCCTCCCCTTCCTCCCCTGCCCCCTCCTTTTCCCCCTCCCCCATCCCCATCCCCCTCTCCTTCCCCCTCCCCTCCCTCCTCCTCTCCTCCTTCCCCTCCCCCCTCCCCATCCCCCTCACCCTACCCCTCCCCATCCCCCTCCCCATCCCCCTCACCCTCCCCCTCCCATCCCCCTCCCCATCCCTCTCTCTATTCCCCTCTCCATTCCCCTCCCCCCTCCCCTTCCCCCTCCCCATCCCCCTCGCCTTCCCCCTCCTCCTCCTCCCTCCCCATCACCCTCTCCCTCCCCTTCCCCCCTCCCCACCCCCCTTCTCCCTCCCTCCTCCCCCTGTCCCTCCCCGCCCCTCTCCCCAAGGCGTGCACACCTCTAGCAGTAGGAACAAATATAGAAGCCTTACTCAGAATCCTTCTTTCCCAAGGCCTGTACCCCTCTTTCGTTCCCTCATTCTCCCCATGCGCCACTCTGACATGCCATCAAAACCCCACTTACGCCCCTCAGTCTCGCTGTCAGAGCCTCGGGATAACCCCGCTGAGTCGCTCAATGGCGATTACAGTACAGATGTCTCGTGGGCAAGTAGCGAACCCTCCCCCCCGTGCCACTCGTCAACGCTCGTCCCCACTCCCTTGCGCCCCCCACAGGTGTCGGCATCAGAGTACTGTGTCCTGGTCACCTACATGCTCTCGCAGGCCAAGTACGCCAGTTACATTGGAGGTACGTGGCCTGCCTCTTACCATACATGCAAACCTCGTTGGAGGTTTCTTTTTTGGATCCGATGTCTGCCTGCTCTTCTGCTGCTCGCACTGCACCCGTGCTTCACCTTTCCCCGTCGACATGCCACCCTGCTTCATTGTACAATGCCAGTTTCAATGTAGGCAGGGGGTATGCGCCACCCTTCGCTTTTCCCCACCTCCCTATCACCCTACATACTCTTCTGACTCCTCTTAAGCTCACTTCTCGTGCCTTCACTCACTCCTCTTGTCTATCTTCTTACTGTGCTTAGCCGCCCAACACCTCTACCATCCACCACCTACTCCTCGCAACGCGCCTACCAGCCGCCCACCGACCCATGCAAGCTGATAGTTTGAGCCCACAAGTGGGAGGCAGGCAGATGGTCCATCACACACACTAGTCCTTACTCCCTATCCTCGTGCACCGCTTCTGCCATGCAAGGACTTGTACCCGGCTCATAAGGCACCGCCATTGCCATGCACCACTGTTGCCAACTCCCATTGCCACCTCCCTTCACTTCCCCCCTTTCGTTGCCTGGGCTGAGCAGAGCCGGGGCTGCTGGGAAAGTACCTCTTCCTCGACTACACCAACGCCACTGCCGGCTGGATTGACGCTCCTACCTGTAAGCTGCTGCTCACCCTGCGTGCCCACAGCGCCCACAATGCCTGCCTGCCCTTTCCGCCTGCTCAGCTCACCCTCTCCTGCATGCGTATCTGCCTCGCCCCGTGTACCTTTTGTCCTGTGCAATTCTCCACACGTGCAACAGAGACTGCGTTCCTGGCACAGACACGCCAAGCGTTTCTGTTGCCATGATAAAGTAATACACAATAGCAGGTGGAGAACATGCTCTTTATTCCAATGCCTGCCACCGCTCGCTACCCCATCTCCTCTCCCCTCATCCCAACAGGTGGAGCTGAGCCTCTGCTGCCGCCGCCCTCCCCTCCTCCACCATCACCACCCTCACCTGTTTCCAAAGCGGCCACTCGCCCTCTCTCACCCGTGCCAGCAGCACTCTCAGCTGCCCTTGTCCTTGCCACCTCGACTGCTCTGCTTGCTCTCACACTCCTGTAGAGCCTGACTTCCTCCCAGGAGCATTCTGAGCCCTAGTCTTGTCTTATAAGCATCCACTCTTGCGTGCTCCTGTGTTGCTTGATTACTTGTCGAAGCTTCCCAGTCTTGTGGCCCAGTCTTGATACCACATTCCCTGGATACACCGTGTTTCCCTGGATAAAAGTGCACCTGTGTTTCTAATGATGCCTTTAATTGTAGGGAGTAAGTTGTGGCTAAATTAAAAGCTAACCACCATGTATATTGATGATCAAATGTGGTCATTGCGACGCAGCCTAATGGCTGGATGTTGGCTCAAGGCATCGTCCGTTGGTTCGATGAGGGCTTGAAGCCCTTCATAAAACCTAAACACGTATCTAAGGTCGGTTTTTTCAAAGCTTTTCCAGCTTCCCAAAGTCATATTTATTTTTTTTTTTTGTTTTCAGGGTATGGTGATGGTGTAACTCTGTTTCATGTTTGTGCTTCAGACAAATGAATAAAAAATATCCTAGTACTATATCGATTTTTTTTGGCTGGGTACGGATCCAAACCGCCTCTTTGTCGCTTCACACGCGGGGGCCAAATCGATCCCTGTCACGTCAGAAGAACCGCAGCGGGGTGCTGACTCACTGTACAAATATCCCACCCACGCGCAAGTGGTGAAATCGCGCCCCGGTTCCCGCGAGGATATGATGGGTTAGTGGCGCATGAACAAACCCGTTTTGCTCAGAAAGCGCTCACCATCCCATCCCACCATTCTAGTGGAAAATCCAGCTGCCAGCACTTTCTCTCATCGCTTCGCACTCCGACGCTTCGCGTTGCACGACTTATTCCTCTCCCCGTGGCTGCTACCATGATTTTTCCGTGGCGTGGTGCCTCGCCGTGTCTGCTCGTGTCACTTCTTCTCCTCTCCCTCAGCGTCTTGCGGATCCACGCGCGCCACCGTAGCGGCCCCGAGATAGCCGCCGTTGCGGACACTCATTCCCGCAACAGCATTCCCAAAAATGCCGCTTATTCCCACCAGCAGTTTGACTCACAATCACCCGAGGTACAAACATCATCATTCGAGTCGCAGTCGATGCGATGCCAATAGCATTGCTTGGGCACAGCCGCGCGACTCGCGGCGCTAGATCATGAAGTTAATAGCAGTAGTAGTAAGTAGCATGGTCACTCACGTCCTAGCGCGCCGCATGTTGTGGCGCTACATGCTCAAAGATTTCCCATTTAGTAAATGCATGGCTCACATTCATGAACAAACGGAAAGAGCAATCTTCGCGGTGGCCGCAAACTGCCAGTTGGACTATAATCTGCTTTCCGGTTATTCGATACACTTTCGCAGGTCGGAGCATCCGGAGGGCTCCAGAACGATCCATCAGCCGCCAGCGACGGCGGAGGGGCGGTCACCACGGGTAGCGGCTCCGCGGAGTCGATTGCGGAGTGGAAGCGTCGATCAGCGGAAGCGGGCGCACACTTCTTCCCTCTGCAGCGCGCGGAAGACGCCCCCAGCTGGGAGGAGCTGCACCGCCGCATTCTCGCGCCCTCCGTGAGTGAAGGGGGCACCCATAAGAGTGGAGATGCCACGAGCAGAGCGTTGCTGCTTGACCTTTCCATGTCATTTTTCAGCATTGCTGCGTTGCCATGATATGCTTTTTTTTTTAGTCGACTCAGAAAATGATATGCCTCCCTTTGGGCTGCGGGACGTGCTACTACGAGGAGACAGTAGCACTAGCACACAGAATGATGTTACTACCAATAATAGTCACCACCCACTGATGTGACTTGGCCACTTAGTTGCATGGCAAGGCGTCGTTGCGACTAACGTGCAGGCTTGATGCTCCCCATTGTGTGTCTCCTCTCCTCGTGGCTTGATGCTCCCCCCGGAAATCCGTGGCATGCGCAGGGCATAGGGGGCGGGTTGAAGGGCAACGGGAATTCAGCCAAGGCATCGACGGTGAGTGGGCACTGGAGAGACGACTGCCGCCACTACCATAGCACACCGGTAGAATGGGATGGGCTCAGACGGTGACATGTGGCAGATGGCTCTAGGCAGGCAACATCTGACCATGCTGCCTGCATTCGGCCGCTATTTTCGCTGCGAGGCAGATGAGTTGGGACTGGGAAGCACGAGAGGTAGCTCTATGCAGCCCCATCAATCCGTTGCTTCTCAACTCAACGCGTTCCCAAACGGGACTCTCATAGTCCATCGAATCCCCCCCTAATATCTTCTCGCGTCGTGCTGTCAAACAAGCATCCCGCCTGCCTCTCTGCCTCATGGAAAAGCCTGTCTTACTGTTCAGTGCCCGGCTGCACACTGTTGTTCTACCTACATACATGCGTGCAGAAAAAGGGGTATCCTCTGCCGCTGATGGACTTTGACAGCACGCTGCTCTCAACGGCCAACGGCACAATGGGCAACACCATGGTCAACTACAGCACCTACCTTGATGACAACAAGATTCGCCTCCCGTATGCTCCGCTTTGCCCCTCTCAATGAATGCCACTCGCTCCAAGCCACTCGCTGCATGCCAATCACTGCACGCCACTTGCTGCATGCATACATGCTGCGCAGCGCATCCCATCCCACTGCCCACCTTCAACCAGGGGCCTCCCATGCGAGGGCGCCCTTGTCTTGCCACGTGCCCTGCACTTCCCCTCCCCCTCCTACACGCCACTGGTGTTGTCTTCTGGCGAAGAAAGTCTGGTAGATGGCTGCCGAGTGAACCATGGCAGCACCTCCTCTCCCCCTTCCCATGCACGGGGCTTGGACCCACTCGACCCGTATCCTTTGCCCAATCCATCACGCTGGCCACAGCAACTCCCTCACTCCTCTCCCGAGCGCCCACTCCTCTGTGACCTTGCTCCCTAATCTGCCCTCCTCCCCTCTCCTCCCCTTTTTCTCCCCTTTCCTCCCCTCTTCTACCCCCTGGCACATCTCACTCTCTCCCACCCACCAGCGTGTATCCGTACTACGTGAATCTCAAGCTGGGGTCGCAGAAGCAGGAGTTCAGCATGGCGCTCGACCTCCTCTTGCCATTCACCTTCGTGCCCTGCGACTGCCTGCACTGCGGGACCACGCGCAAGGGGGTGCGTGGGGTTGCGAGTATCATGCAAGGGGGGAGTGGGTGGAGGTCCAGGACTGGGCGAGTCAGACTTTTGAGTCACCTCGTGGTCTGGGACTGGGGGAGTCAGGGTGAGTGTGAAAGTGTGAGGTGTTGGATAACTCAGGTAACCACTGAGCTAAAAGGGCTTGTTCCATACCGGATGAGCACGCCGATTACCCTTAAGACCATCCTTGTCTGTACCTTTTCCCAGGACCTTAGGCCGATCCTAGAGCTCCTCCAATACCCCTCCCCTCTCTTCAGTGGAGTAGGCCTTAGGACCACCGGCACGTTCCAGTGTGCACGCCGGGATTCAAACCTGAGTTTTTTGCTCTGATATCATGTTGGAAAACTCAGCCGCTAACCATTGGGCTAAAAGGGCTTGTTTCATAGCAGATGAGCGCACCCATATCCTCCCATGCCATCCTTGCCTGTGACCCTTTTCCGAGACCTTAGGCCGATCCCAGTGCTCCTTCAACATGAGGTAGTTCCGTGAGTTCAAATGAAGTGGGGAGCGTCATTGTCTAAAGTGGGCCTTCTGTTGTTGAGTTGAGATGGAAGCATGGCCACGAATCCCAACCACGAATCCCAACCTCCTCTTCCTTACCCCGTGCTGTTTGCAGCCCCACCAAGCACTTCATTTCTGGCATGTGATTTTTTGCTAGGATGCAGCCAGTCAGCCTGCTCAAGCCCCATACACGCCTCTGGCCTTTACTTCCTCTCCCATGGGCTTGTGACGACACACGCTTGAATGTTGCACGTTGCATGAACCTAGTCACGTACGTTGCATCCTTGTTTTCATTACGACAGCACTTTAATCCAATCTTGCCTCTACCCTCACTTCTCCTAAACCCCCTTGTCCCCACCCATCTCCCCATGCCGCTACCTCCCCTGCCAACAACTCCTTGATCTCGCCTTCTCCCTGCAGACGCCCAGCAGCAAGCCCTTCAGCACGCTCGCCTCCACAACCCTGCAGTACATCTCCTGCGTGGACCAGCGCTGCCAGGGGGGCCTCAAGTCCGGCTACTACGGCTGCAACACACAGGGCCTCCCCAACTACCTCAACGACTCCGCGGGCCTGCTGCCTGGGGACGATGCTCTCTGCGTGTTTGATGCTTACGCAGAGCCCTACGACTACTACGAAGCTGACTATGATGCGAAATCGTACCTTGAGTCTGCGGGGCATGTGGTGCAGGACACGGTGTACCTCACTGCACCTGACGGTACCGAAGTCAACCGGTCCATCATTATTGGGTGAGACTCCATGCCGTCCACACGCTCTCTTCCGTGCTTCTTCTCCCTCGATTTTTTAAGAACTCACAAAAATGAGACTCATGCTTCTTCTCCCACGATCTTCCATGCTTCTTCTCTCACTCGTTCTCTCGTCCAACCTGTCCCGATCAGTTCCTCACCCCTTCCGTCCTGCTCCTTCTCACTCTCCTCTCTCCCGCCCCCGCAATCGCCTGCCCAGCTGTGGAGTGAACCAGACGGGCCAGTGGGGCATGCAGGGATGGCAGTACGGCTCGTGGTCAGCAGGAGGCGTGCTGGGGCTGGGATGGTACAGCCCCTTTCTTGAGCAGCTAACAACCGGCACTAGCTCTTTTGCCGTATGTCTGGAGGAGCCGACGCCGACGAACAAGACGGGGTGGGATGGCAAGGTGCCGCTGCAGACAGGCAGCAGCCATCTCACCATCGGAGCCACCGGCCTCCCAACTGGCGCCGGTTACACGCGCATGTAACCCCCTGCACCTGCTCCACGCCCTCCATTTGCTCTCTTTCTCTCCCTGCGCGCACCAGCTATGCCACCTTGTAATGACCCTGCTCCTGCTCTGCACTTGCACCGTGCACCCTCACTTTCCCACGCCCTCTCACGCTCCATCCATCCATCCGTCCCTCCATCCATCCATCCACTCACCCACCCATCCA